CTAATAGCGTTTTTACTCTTGTCTGTTGGGAAGAGCAGAATGCTTGGCATTGCTCCAGCCTGGCCCCAAGCAGCTCAAATTCCACTTGGGAGATTAATGATTGCTGCTATAGAACGACACTGTCAGTTTCAATGAAACTGATTCAGTAATAATCCTGTGACGTGACCGCTGAAAAGGCCAAATTGCCGTAATTGTTACAGGACTACATGGTAGAAAGTTAATAGGTTCTGAGGGAAGCCAGGAGTTGCAAGGAGATGAATGAGAAAATAACTACAATCAGTTATTTGAGGATTAGTTGAAAGTTCACCTACAAAAATACAGTCACTACACTTGACAGTAAATCCTGTGAAATGTTTTGAGACATCCTCTCAATGTGAAAGGAGCTATATCAAATGCTAGGATTATTTAAGGCATCAGCTAATCACATATTACTTTCTGAAAACATAATTAATAGATAGTAAATCACTAAATCCAAATTTTTCACGACAGTGATAATCCCTTTAAAAGCAAACTAATAGGCTAACATATGCTTTCAGTGTTCAAGCAGAGGAAAACATCAGTATAAATGCATTCAACAAGAAGCTTGAGCTTCACATAAGGCAGAGGGGATTAGAAGGGTATGGGAGGGTGTAAGGAATGGGTGAAAACTAGTGTGGAGTACGAACACTAGCACAGACTGGTTGGGCTGAGTGGTCTGTTTCCGTGCTGTATGTTTTTTGTAATACTTTAAACTTCATAATGTACTTTGCACCCAATGTGCACCTTTACCCACAGTTCCAATTGTTCTTGAACTTCTTTACAATATCTAGATATACTGTATGCATGACTTAGGAGTTTTTCTCATTGCTTTGATGTGCAACACAAAATGGAAAGTATTGCAAACAGGTAAACCGTTTTTTTTTTCCCCTTCTGCAGATCATTAAAAATTCAGTTGAAATTAATTTTCCATTAGGTATCTTGTTTGGCAATCAACCTGCTAAAAGGCTTCATTTAAATTTAATAACTTTTGGAGAGACGCTTTCCGCGATTATCAAAATAGAAACTATGCCCTAATAATATTTTCCATTATAACAGACAAAGTCGCTGCATGCAACAGCCAATTATTGAGTAATATTTTCTCAGTATCGTGAACTGCTCAATAATAGTCGTAAGACAGACTTGGGTAATAGTTTCAATCTATTTATGTACAGCTTGTTTAGAAGTGCACTAATGCAACTTGTGGATTAAACAACTGGTAAAACATCTGCAAAATTAAGATGTGCATACACAAGGTATAGGTTTGCCCCGTCACCACACCTCATACATTAACATGTCCCTCAACACATTTACTGCTGCCACAAATAACATTTTTACTGTGTGACTGGATTGATGTCACGTTGACACTGCTTCATCAAGCAAATGTGCCATTTGATCCTTTTCAGTGAAGCACCATGACATTTCCCATTGAAGAAGTGCAGACATTTACTCATGTAGAGTGGAACATGTAGAGTGTTTACTGTTTTCCAGCAATGAAAAGTAACATGAAGTCATAATATTGCCCTCTGAAAGCAAGAACTAGACTTCCAGAACAATAACAATGACCAAAAGTCATGTTTTTGTTTTTACACGAGCATTTACATTCACTATTATTGCTAAATAAATACATAATAAAGAAATCAATGAGGCCTTTTAAAAAAAAATCTGGAATGCCATATAAATAAGAGCATGACAATAATCAAATTTCATATTGAGAAGAGCTAAATATTAGTCCTCATTAATGTTTCTCTCAGCAGTTTTTAGAATTTGTTTTTCGCCTAATGTAGTTAGATTAGCACTCTGCAATGCTGCCCTGCATGAGAAGTGCTATATAAGTGCAAGTTGTTGTTGTAGTTCATTTGTCTTGCAGCATGATTTAAAACCATTAGAAATACATTCAAGCAAACAATTATGCTTTGGTTCACCTGGCTTTTGCAGAAGAGGAAGATTGCATTGAATTTCTCAGGCTTTGTTTGCTTTCAGTGGAACAAGGATAAGGTTCCCCTTTAAAGCAAACCCACATTATTCCATGTTTCCACTTCCAGATCGAGGAAGGCATTAAGAGATGACAGAAATTCCCAGTGCGAGGGAGGAAGGAAAGCAGGGGGAAAAGAAACATTGATGATAATTTAATAAAAATAATCCTTGCATTTAAATATACTTCCTTTCGCATCAGCAGGATGTCTTAAAGCATTTATGGGATTTACTGCCAAATACTGTGCATTTTACAGGAGAACACAGCAATCAATTTGCGCACAAAGACAGCCATGAAGTGAATGACCAATTTTATCCAGGGGATTATTGGGCAGAACATTGAGAGAAACTCCCTTGTGTTTTTTTTTAATTTTGTGGGATCTTTAAAACCCACATGAACAGATAAGACCTCAGTTTAACATCTTATCCAAAAGATGAAACCTCCAACAATGCAGTGCACCCCCAACACTGTATCCAAGTGTCAGTCTAGACCAGGCGAATGAGCTCAAAGTCTACCTCACCCCTCACGCTGCTGAAAACCTGGTTCACGCCTTTGTCACCTCAAGGCTGGACTATGGGAACTCTCTCCTCGCCGGCCTTCCCGCCACCTCCCTCCACACTGCAGGTCATTCAGAACTCTGCAGCTCGTGTACTGTCCCGCACCAGACACCGCGACCACATCACTCCCACCCTCGCTCGCCTGCACTAGCTCCCCATCCCCCAGAGGATTGATTTCAAGATCCTCATCCTCACCTATAAGGCCATTCACGGCCTCTCTCCCTCCTACCTCTCTGACCTACTATCCCTCTACCTACCTTCCCGTACCCTCCGTTCCTCCGGCCCCGGTCTGCTCCACGTCCCCCGCCCCAATCGCCCTACCATCGGTGGTCGGGCCTTCAGCCTCTCAGCCCCCAGGCTCTAGAACTCTATCCCCCAGTGCCTTCGCCGCTTCCTCCCTCTCCTCCTTCAAGGCCGGTCTCAAGACCTTTCTCTTTGACCTTCAGCCTTCAGCTCCCCTCTCGACTCTCTTCTCCCTCCTCGCTCCCTCCCTTCCCTCCCCTCACCCTGACCATTTCCCCCCTCCGCGCTCCCTCCCTTCCCTCCCCTCACCCTGACCATTTCCCCCCTGCTCGCTCCCTCCCTTCCCTCCCCTCACCCTGACCATTTCCCCCCTGCTCGGGTCCTGACCCAACTGTGCAGCGCCTTGGGACGTCCTCCTGACGTGAAAGGCGCTTTATAAATGGAATCTTGTTGTTGTTGTTGTTGATGTGGAGCTTGAACCCTTATCTTTCTGCCAACTGAGTCAGAATGACGTATGGGTCAGGGAATAGAATGCATTTCCTTATGTGCTTCCTTATTGAGATCTGTAAAATTCGAACTTGTTCTTCGACCTTTGCCCCATTGATCAAGTCCTTGTAATGCATCTCCATTATTCAGGCATTCGTAACACCATAAAACAGTGAGCAAATGTTAAAAATATGGCAAATATTATTTCCTGGAAGAGGGAGCTGGAACAAAAGTTTAAAGCAACACAGTCTAAGAGCGCAAACATTGGGTTGTAGATTACAAAATAACTTTTATATAGCGGCCTTCAAGCAGGCTAGCGTCTCGGGGCGCACAGCGATTAGGGTGTGAGTCAGCACCTCAATTCTTGAAAAGATCCTATTGGACTTGTTTTCATTGGTGCAGAACAGGTAGAGCGGGGCCTGACTGAGTCATACAAAATCATGAGCAGTTTTATAAAGATCGATAAAATGAAGTTATTTCCACTGATAGGGGAGTCAGTACCTGGGAGACATAGATGTGATAGCCACAAGAAGAGGGAAACAAGAACTTAGGAGGAATATTTTCACCCAGTGAGGAGTTGGGATGTGGAAGGTCCTGTCGAGGAGGGTAGTGGCGGTGAATTCCATTGTGGCTTTCAAGAGGGAAGTAGACAGTTATGTGAAAGAGAGGGACTTGAAGGGGTATGTATGGTGGGGATCATCTGGATTTCTATGTTTCTATTTCTATGTTTCTAAGATCCACTTAAACATCATAAAGTAGCAGGACTTCTTTCGGTTGAAGCCACACTCATAAGGCAATTCAGTGCCAGTCTCATTCTTCCTTTCCTTTGAGTCCTTTCCTTTCTCCATAGATGCTGCCTGACCCGCTGAGTGTCCCCAGCGACATCGGTTTTTGTTTCAGCTTTCCAGCGTCTGCAGTATTTTGTTTTTGTTCCAGTCTCATTCTTTGTCATCTCAAGCCACGACAGTTTTTTTTCACATGGCATGGCAACACACCCGCACTCTATCTAGCTTGCCAATCAGGGTTCAAACAAAACCCAACCGTCTGTTCTCGATAACGACTTGCATAAACCTGGGCTATCCACTTAAACCGTGTCCGACAAGTGTTTTCAGTGCTCTTTTGGAAAATATTCCCACACTTTACACAATGTGCGATTGTATCGCTAACCCAGGAGCCAGTCTCTGCAAAGTACATGATTCTTAAACACTATTTTTTAAAAAAAACATACATTGTCATTACAGATCATAGGAGTATCTTATGATCCGATTTTACTTTGAAAACATCCGGAGGGGGGGCTTTCAACTTCATCTCAAGCAAACTCGCTTGTGAAGAAGAAATACAAAGGCAAATACATTGCTCTCTTACCAGCTTTCTGCTTTACATAAATGACCAAAGGTTAAAACAAGGAAAGTTTCTTTTCAACTTTTGAAACATAAATCAAGTACCTGTGGGGTTCTCCCTCCCCACCCCACCATCTCAACATCCAAACTAACCTTCTTTAAAGCTTTCATGTCGGTCAGAAGTCATGGGAATAGGGAATAGCTTGAATGATTGCAAAGGAGGAGAGAAAACCACAAAAAAGATGAATAATTGTAGTGGCTCTGCGAGCTCACCAACTGAAGGGGGCTTTCAGAGAGTCACTGGATTACTGTGTCACAACTTGGGGTGGAAATACTATACTGCCAGACAGAGAGAGAGAGAGAAGTAATTGCACTGTTCCTTACCTGCTCGTTAAGTCTGCGATCCTGTTGCTGATCGGTCGTGCTGTGTTGTAACCCAGTTAAACTTTGGTACCAGTGTTTTCCAGGCAATCAATCCATCCATCAATCCTCAGTCTCTCCTCCCTCCCGGAACTGGCTACCCAGCCCCCACCACATAGCATCCGAGGCTCTCCTTCTCTTTGGATGATGCACCACAGAAACAATTGGCCATAAACTTTATTGCAAGCTCAGAACTGGTTAGAAAGTTCACAGAGAGAGAGAGAGAGAGAGAAAGTGAGAGAGAGAAAAACAAATGACCACGACTCCAAAAAAAAGTTTCCTTTGGGAGATAATTAATAATTAATAACAACCACCACAAGTTATTATATAACTTGTAATATAATATATGAGCAATATTATATTATATTATATATAGCGCTCTTCGCGTGAGGTAGTGTCCCCGGAGCGCTTAGGGTTAGCAGTAAATGATATTCTTATGCCTTAATGTGCTCCCCCTCCCCCAAATAAAACGTATGATGTATATGTTTAACTTGTGTAATAATATTGATGATGATAATAATACTTGCATTTGATAACAGCGCCTTATCACGTCATCGATAAATACATATCGCTTTTAGTGACCAATGTATAACGGACTAACATTTTAAAAGGACATTTAAGGATGATGATTCAGGATAATATTAAAACATCAAGCTTCTCCGTCATGTTACAACTTGTTCTAAGGCTTACCTCATCGTACCTCCTGAGCTTCTTATCGACCATACTTCATCTCTTCGACCTCTTTAGATTCTTACTAGGTTGAAATAAAAACTCATTGCTCCATTTCCTTGACAACATCTTTCTTTCTTAGGAAATGCCTCCCTTCCTCCTACGATTTTAGGCGTGTAAAGTCTAAGAGTGGCACCATTTAATGATTACTCCCTGAATTCTCATTGTCTCATTTTTCCTAAAATTTCAACAGTGTGGCTCGGTTCGCAAGGGCTTTAGACTGTTTTTTTAAAAAAAGGCTGATCTAGGAATTCTAACATTAATTTTTGGGCTCAGCAAAAGATGATGACACTAAATGAAAATGATATCTGAGAGGGGAAACATTATCAAAGCAAATAATGTAACTTCATCAACAGTAAAATGTGTTTTTTTTTAAACAACATTTGTTGTTGTTGATCTTTTAAATGTTGCTCTATCGATGAAACAAAATGTTTCCTTAATGGACAAGAATAAGAAGATACCTGTGAAAGTACTGGACCAGTTGGGAAACAAAAAATGGCAACCCAGTTGAGTGAGTGAGCGAGTGAAGCTATTATTAAGAATAATAATCTGTATATTGGAGACGTATCGCTTCATTCAAACCACTCAAAAGTGCTTCACAGGATTTACTGCCAAGTGTGCTGACTGTGTATTTGTAGAATGTAATGTATAATGTGGTACACAGCGGTGTACCACAAACAGCCATGAAGCGAATGACCAGCTCTTTATGGAGGATTGTTGGCCAGGGTTTAACTCCCTTTTCTTTTCAAATACAGCTATGGGATCTGTGACGTTCACATTAACAGGCGGCGGCACCTCCATGTCATCCGAAGGACAGCACCCGATGGGGTTATTTTTACACAGAGGGCGATAATGATTCCAAAGAGCTATCAAGAAGGCTCGTTGAGGTCAGGACACTGGGCTCACTTTCTTCTAAGAAAACAAATGCTGGATTTTCTACCGAGAAGGATAGGTTTATCGGGACGGATAATAATGGACAATCGCTGCCATTTGGCGCGGGGGCTTTTCGCACCGGGCGGACCGTCTGGCGAGGGCTTGCGTTAGCGGGATATGCCGCGAAGCGGGGTGACTGCGTGATTCGAGGGGGGAAAAGTCCCGCAAACGACGACCACGACGGCGACGACGACGACAACAACAGCAACAGAATGACGTTTGTGTAGATGTGTCACGTCGGGAGGATGGGCCGTGGCACGGACCGGACCAGACGGGTCCCGTTGACCCATCCCTCGCGGACGTGTCTTGCGAGCGGCGAGAAAAGGAAACGTGCGAGACCAGGCGAGGCCAGGCCAGGCCAGACCAGGCCAGACCAGGCCAGGCCAGGCCAGGCCCCAGGCCAGGCCAGGCCAGGCCAGGCCAGACGAGGCCAGGCCAGACCAGACGAGGCCAGACGAGGCCAGGCCAGGCCAGACCAGGCCAGACCAGACCAGGCCAGGCCAGGCCAGACCAGACCAGGCGAGGCCAGGCCAGGCCAGGCCAGGCCAGACCAGACCAGACCAGGCCAGACCAGACCAGACCAGGCCAGGCCAGACGAGGCCAGGCCAGGCCAGACCAGGCCAGACGAGGCCAGGCCAGACCAGGCCAGGCCAGACGAGGCGTGGCGAGTGGAGCTGAGTCTCCCGGCTCTTCCAGACAGACGGGCATTCCTGTGGGCTTTGGGAATGGGATGGTGGTGATGATGATGATGATGATCATGATGGGGGGGGGGGAAGGGCGTGGCGTCACTGAGTGACGAAGACACCGGAAGTGACGGCTGCACCTTCAGCTCGAGGCGACCGGAACTCACCTGTCAACGGTCACTGGCCTTTCCGTCAACACCCCCCACCGGCCTCCCCCCCCCCCGGCCTCCCCCCAACCCCCACCGGCCTCCCCCCCCCCCAACACCCCCACCGGCCTCCCCCCCCAACACCCCCACCGCCCCGCTCCTCTCCTCACCGGGCCACTCGGCCATCAATAACCGTCTCCCCCACCGCCCGCCCACCGCCCGCCATGGACTTCGGTTCGAGACGCCGCGTGTCGCCGCCCGGCCTTAACCTCGGATCGAGCTCGTCCCGCAGCAGCGGCCAGAAGGAAAGCACCATCCAGAAACTGTCCGGTAAGTCGGTCGGTCGGTCGGTCTGTTCCCGCCCCTGAAACGGCGGCTCGCGCGGGCACCAGGAGCTGAGGGTAAAAATAGTACTAACATAATAACGACACTAAAATAATACTACTACTACTACTACTACTGATAAAATAATACCAACAACAATACTAAAGTGATGGTAAAATAACAATACTACTACTGATAAAATAATACCAATGACAATACTAAAGTGATGGTAAAATAACAATACTACTACTGATAAAATAATACCAACGACAATACTAAAGTGATGGTAAAATAACAATACTACTACTGATAAAATAATACCAATGACAATACTAAAGTGATGGTAAAATAACAATACTACTACTGGTAAAATAATACCAATGACAATGCTAAAGTGATAGTAAAATGATACTACTAATAATACTAAAATAATAATAATAAAATAATAATACTATAATAATGAGACTAAATACCACTAATAATACTAAAATACTACTGCTAAAATAATGCTAATAATACTAAAATAATACTAATGATAATACTAAAATAGTATTAATAAAATAATACTAATAATACTGAAATAGTACTAATAAAATAAAACTACTAATAAAATAATACTAAAATAACACTAATACTAAAATAACACTAATAATAATACTAAAATAATACTAATAATACTAAAATAATACTAATAATATCAAAATAATAATACTAAAATAATAATAAAAAAATCATTATCATAATTAAAAAAAGATGATTGGTATTAACGAATGAGCCACCGACCCTCTCCCTCACCCAAACTCAACCCCACCACCATCCCCCAATATTAGCTGCGAACTGAAGTTGAACTTAAACTACAGTTTTAACTTTTTTACATATATATTAAAAAAAAGCAAAGTTTTGGCTTTGTTGTAGGTTGAAATGTGGAAAAAAAATTGTTTTTTTTATTTGAACTGGTTAAAAATTCCAGTTTTCCCTCACTCACTCACTCACTCACTCACTCACTCACTCACTCACTCACTCACTCACTCACTCACTCACTCACTCACTCACTCACTCACTCACTCACTCACTCACTCCACTCACTCACTCACTCACTCACTCACTCACTCACTCACTCACTCACTCACTCACTCACTCACTCACTCACTCACTCACTCACTCACTCACTCACTCACTCATACTCTCCCTCTCTCTCTCTCTATGGGAGGGTTTCAACCTTCTCTTCTCCCAAAGCCTTGACGTGATAAGGCGCTATATCAAATACTAGGATTATTATTATAATAAAATCTTGGCTCTTACTAACCTGTGCGAATGCTCTCTGGGATTGGAGTGAGTGAGCTCTTGGGGTTCAATTTCCAGAGTAATGGAAACCTTGTGTGTAACTGAAACTCCCTCCGTAGTTTGGTTCGGGTATTTGCTTACAGATCTTTAAATTCTTTTACTTTACAGATATATATTTACCCATTATCTTCAACCCACTCTTACATGAATTACCCAGTTATCAGACTTCAATCAAAAAGCCTCCAGCTACACAGTCTCGAAGTAGACGGAGAAGTTTTGCCCGCTCCCATTTAGAGTCCTTTGAGTCCAGATTAAGTGAATCAAATCAACTGGAAATAAGGCCCCTGCGAGACTATCCAATTAGCATCCAAAAGAAGAAGCAAATGAGGTTGGGTTCTGCATGCTACAGAATTAAGAATTGTATATTGAAGCATCACTGATGTGAGATATTGATGAGTTGATGTATGCTGTGCGTCTGAGAAAACAATGGGAAAAAATGGTTTAAAGTAGCTGTTTTGAAGTGTCAGCCTGGCTCAGTTGGTCTTTATTGACAAGCCAAGATGGCTGACCTACCAACTGAACCCTCGAGTATAGCACTTGTAGGTAAGGAGTAGGCAACAAATAAGACAATCTTAACTTTCAGTTATTCTATGAACTGATGAAATGTGTGTAATGGAGTAGAGGCTGAGTTTGAAAGTCCTTTGAGCTTGTTTTTGAATTTAGTCCTGTGTATCTTTCAAAATATGGAGTATCTACAAAATTATTGCAGCAAGGAATTGGGAGGGAAGCTTTTAGTTACACTCCTGCATTTTTTGTTCTGGTACTTTTTAAAACGTTTTGTTTCATTGCAGAGCCTCTCGGGATTCTCAAACAGCACGGATAACAAAATGGAACCGGTTCGTTTTTTATTGGAAAAGGAAAGGGAGGCGGTTTGTGGAATCAAGCAAATTACTAGGAGTAATGTTGCAATTTTGGAAGCAAGACATTCATGATATAGAGGGTGAAGAAATTCAGTTGGAAAAATGTTGACAATTTATTTAATACAGTAGGGAAGCTATTGGGTCCAGTATATATGTTTACCAGATTTGTCACCTCCATAAGTAAAACTGACTCAAGGACCACTGCTGTGCTGACAGAATGTCTGTGAGGCGTCAAGTCCAGGATGAGAGCTAACTTTCTTCAGTTGAACGTCAACAAGACCGAGGCTCTCCTGATTGGCTCCTGTCAGCGCCTCCTAACCTCAGACGCTGACAGTATTACCATCCATGGTGGTACACTCAACCTTGCTAAGCCAGTCCGGAACCTTGAGGTCTTCGACCCTCAACTATCCTTTCTACCCCACATTCACACCATGACCCGCTCTGCCTTCCTCCACCTCCGCAACGTCGCCCAGCTCCTACACTGTCTCACACCGCAGGCCACCGAAACCCTCATACACGCCTTCATTACATCGGGGATCGACTATGCAACCTCACTGCTTGTCGGCCTCTCCAACTCCTCCCTCCACAGACTGCAGATCATCCAGAACTCTGCAGCCCGTGTCCTCTCCTGCATTAGGCTCTGTGACCCTATCATCCCCATCCTTGCCCAACTCCACTGGCTTCCCATCACACAGAGGATACAGTTCACGATCAAGGTCCTCACCTTCAAAGCCCTCCATGGTCTTGCTCCCCCCACCTCTCCGACCTGCTAACCCACTACCATCCTATTCGCTCCCTCCGCTCAGTGGGCTCTTTTCTGCTTCAAGTCCCCCGCCTCGCTCGCCCCACTATCGGCGGGCGGTCCTTCCGCCACTCTGCACCAACCCTCTGGAACTCCATTCCGCAGTCCCTCCATGTCGCCCCCTCCCTCGCCACCTTCAAGACCCACCTCAAGCCCCTCCTCTTCGATCGTGCTTTTGATCTCCCTGCTTCCCCCCCTGCCCTCCCCTACCCCGACCCTAAACTTGGGTCCGAGACTGTCTGTCCGGCGCTTTGGGACGTCCTCCCTACGTGAAAGGCGCTATATAAATGTAATTTTGTTGTTGTAAAAAAAAGCTAAATTGGGAGGAGGTCATTCAGTCCAGGGCAGAGGGAATTGAAGTTCCTTTGAGATCAAGTCAACATAATTTACAATACAACGTTGAGGGCATCTGCTGTGTATAATTGGCTGCTGCGTTTCGCCCACAAAATACACAGTCAATTCACTTTGCAGAATATTCTGTGACGTGCATTGAGACGTCTCACTGACATGATAAGGTGCTAAGTCAAATGCAAACATTATTATGTATTGTGATATAAAGGAGAATGTAAGATGTGGCTCTTCTTGGGTGACTTTAAACGTAAATTCAACCTGTACCTAATTTAGTGTTTTTTTAATTTTTTTTCATTCAGGCAAATTTGGCACTGGAATCCAGTCTTACTTCTCTTTTCTCCGATTTTTAGTTTTGCTGAACTTTGTGATTTTCCTTTTAATGTTTTGTTTTGTCACGTTGCCGATGTTTTTTATAAAACAGAAAAAACACCAAGTGAACGTCGAGCCTTTGTCCTACAATTCAGGTAAATAACCTTAAACACTATAGGGATGTAGAAATTATTGTTCTTGAAGCCAAGAAGATGTTCAAAGTATTCATATGCGCTCAACTGCTAAAGTCATTAGTTTAAGTATACAATCTTTCTAATTTTTCAAGCTTCGTGGGAAATGGATATTGTCGTCATCCCAGTGATGTGCCTATGGGTTGGGGTAGAAGAGCAAAAGAAATATCTAAGAACACTGAATCTTTAAACCATTATTAGTGTTGAGGTACTGGCATCTTTGTCAGATAATTTTCCACTCTCATTTTAAATTGCCTCACTGTGGTTAGTTAGCTTGGATCTGGTCATTTCATCCTTCCTTTCAGTTTCCCTTTTTAATTTTTTTTGTTTAAATTTGCATCCACTGTTGGGTGGATTATGGTACATGTGAGCACCCATGGCATTGAATGCTGAAAATTCTTCCCAGTGACAATTATCCATTACATTGGCTGATCATTTATTTCCCTTGTCGCAACATTTTCAGGAAAAAGAAGCTTCCAAAAGCTAGCTCTGGGATGCTTCAATGTGATATGTTTAACCAAGCCTCCAATAACAGTATAATTGGCTTTGTTTAAAAATACTACCATAACATCTTTCCCAGCAATGTCAACAACACTAGTACCAGTTGAAACCAAGTGCACATTTTCTGTATTTTGTTCTTCTGTTTTATAGTTCCTGAATGCACGCAGTATGAAAAGTTTGACAAGGGACTTATTGTCTTCTACTCTTACATAATTGATCTTCTTACAGGGACAGTAAGTATATTAAATTAATGGCTTGACATAAATTAGGATACCATATTAGATGAAATTACTGTGGTTTGAGATGCTTGTTTATTTTAGTTTCCTATGTTGTAAATGTAAATATTTTAAATATGACACATATAAATATAATAATGTTGCAAAGACTGTATATGTTGTGCTTTGGTTAACCAAATGTTTGCATTTTCTAAATCCCTGTGATGTTGAATTATATTGCATGTTATGAGATGAGATGAAATGAATGTCAATATAACCAGACTAATTCCTGAAACATTATTGGCTATGCAAAAATTAGATTAGGTGACACTCTTTGTATGACCAGATGTTGGTAGCAATATAATTTATACTCCAATTTGTTGCAAACCCTCTGCGACTTGTCAATAGTTATTTAATGGGGAGTTTTGCCCTGTTTATACAGTAAACGTTTAAACTTACAGTATAAGTGTGGGATGAGTTCTACCAAGATGATTTTAATGTTCAAGTCACACTTTCACTCTTATAATTCAATATAAGGGGCATAGAAGGTTCAGAGAAACTCAAGAAGGAAAATTGGGTAATGGGACTTACAAAAGCAAGCAGGAACTGTGGTCGGTGATGAACTATTGCGACCTATAAGTCAGCCATTGTAATACAATATACAATGCAGGAAATCTGAGGGCCAGCTTACACATGTTCAATGAATGGGATGCACTGCAACTGTATTTTATTTGAATTTGCGCTACAAAGAATATTATTACAGTGGGGCTGCATTGTTTTTTATTGATAAGCTGCTCAAAATCTACCTGCAAACTCCACTAAAGCCATGTACATGTATATCATGTTTCCCGCCATTTATTTTGGAAAGGGTAGCAATATGGGACCAGGAAGAGGCCATTTAGTCCACGAGCCTGTAACTTTTGTAATATTTGTTTCTTCCATAACTCATTGTCTTTCATATTTTCTATTTTTGTTTAGGGATTCTTGGAGCATACTTATCTGTTTTATGGATATTACAAAATAGACCATTCGCAGATAAAGTATTTAGGTTACAATCTGCCACTTGCATATTTCTTGACAACAGGAGCATACATCTTGCTAAGCCTTGTGTGGATAGTCAAAAGGTAATTGCTTTTGCTTGAATTTAAGTGCTAAGTAGTACATTCTTTTCCCCCTCTCAGTTGCTTATAATAGTTATGCACAATAATAATCCTGGAATATCCAAGCTGAATTCACCCCAGTGCAAGAAGTTGCTTGGGTTTGGAGGGGGTGATCTCGGGGTCTCAGGAATATTCTATCCCTTATCCTTTTTCAGGTGATGTAATGAATGGGGGCAGGGTTCACCATCAAGTACATTTTGTTGAGCCTGTACAAGGCTATGCATTCGATAACCTGAGTGACCTTTTCTTGTTTCATGGTCTCTTATTTTATCATTGCCTCAATTTTATTTTTTCTGAATTCTTTAGAGCTGTGGAAGGTTTTAAGCAGAGCATCATTAGTGCCGAAGATCGATTTCAGAGCTTTTGCAATAAAATCTTTGCAGGTTGGGATTTTTGCATCTCAGATGAACATGCAGCACAACTGAAACACAGCAGTCTACAGTATGAGCTTCAAGTAAGTACCTTTTCTGATTCCATATAAAATTAGCCAATAGGTTAAAAGATTTCCCCGAATACTCAATATATACAAGTACTTGTGTATTTCCAAATAAATGCAAACGCGCCTCATCTTGGGTTTTCATTTCTGTTTGGAAGTTGGAATGGGTGAATGTAGACCACAAAAGATTTGCTCGAGAAAATCAGGCTGGCTGGCAGACAGATGTTCTGTGCTGTTTTCTGGATCTTCCTCTCTTAATTCCAACACATGCAATAAAACAGACTTTATTAAAAAAAATCATTTAATAAAAATGTTTTCAGGTTCTTCCTTTGCTGGTTTTATGTTGTCCAGGATAGTAAGGAGTAATTGAGACTAGATCGGCGATTCATATTGGTGAATCTCTGATTTGCTGGCTATCCTCCATGTAAACCTGATTGAGACGCCATTGGGATAAACTTTTGCTGAGGATGTGGAGAGATTCAAGCAGCGCGATTGTGTGCAATCTGAGCACAGCTGAACACTTAACCCAGCTATCAGCTCGCTCTCTCTTTGATTGTTCACTTCAATAGATTTTTGCATTAACATGTAAACCTGCAATAGTATGTCCATCTTCATAGAAGACACTGAAATTAAAGCATTTTTTTATGGTTCACAGACTGATTTGGAGGAAGAAAGGATCAAACAGAAGATTGCAGAGAGAACCAAGAAAGAGAAGATGCACATCTACTTTATAAGGGCTGTTTTGAATTTGATAGTTGCTCTGGTATTGAGTGTTTGTTTTTACTGCATATACAGAGCAACAATCTACTCAGAAGCACGGGACGACAGAGTAAGATCAATTTATTATTGTTAAAAAAAGGTGAATTGTCTGGACTCCAGAAAATAAAAATCATCTTTATTATGAGCAGAACAAAAGATGACAATATTTTATGTATAAACGTAAGATGCTGCATATCGGAACAGGAAATGTGGAATTTGTAATGCAAATGATGAATTAAATTGAAGCACCTTTGCCAGATGCCTGGTGAAAAAAATGTTTGCAAACCTGATTAGCACTTGCAGTGTTATTCTTAAATGTATTTTAAAATTTCCCATTGGGTTTTATCATGGTCTTTTTTAGGTTGTTTTGACGGATATGAATTGATTATGCTTTTCTTTTGCAGCCACATAATTCAGATACGTTTTTACAAGACCTCATGCTTCAGTATTTGCCCTCCATTGTCATTACTGCAGCAAATCTTATTACACCAGTTATTTTTGAGCATTTAATCAGATTTGAAGACTATTCACCAGCGTTTGAAATCAAATTCATACTCATTAGGTATGTTTGACCTTGTGTATTAGATTCAAACTCAGGAATAATTTGTAGCTAATCTTCTAAAAGAGAAAAAAAGTACTCACAATTGTATGAACTAAAATACTCATTTGAGCATCTCTGGTGGATAACTACTGCATGTGGAAATGTGTCAATTATCTATTGAACTCTATATTAAAACTCACATGAGTTGTTTCAGTCGGGACCATAACATTTAATATGAGTTACGTGAAGTCCGAGTTGCAGGCTAATTCTAATTTACTGCACAATATTTATTGATAGTCCACTTTTGCTGTGTAACCATTACATGCTTTGTGTGAAGTTGTGTGTATCGTAGTGGTGAATCATATAAGCTGTAGAAATTCACACAAACACTGCTGCCGCAGGAACCGACTAGAAAATGAATGAATGAGTCTATATAAGTTAAAAGTTAATGAATCCTGAAATTATCAGTTTGGGGCTTTGAGCCTACGCCCAATAATAATGAACTGCTATTGTCAAAACAGTCAACATTTATGGTCAATAAGGATTTCCTATCCCATTATCCTTGGCCATGCTTTGTTTCTCTCAACACAGAAAGATCAAAATGAAACTTTCTTTTCTCCAGGTCTGTGTTTGTACGACTGGCCAATATTATTGTCCTCTTGTTGACCTTATGGTCACAAATCACAACATGCGATGGTAATGTATGTGAACCATGTGGTTATAACCACAAGCTCTACCAGGTGAGTAAATTGTCTACTTGATTAATTTTTTTAATTTAACTACTAAATAATGGCTTTAAAAAGCAACAGGAACACAGATTTCCATTGAGTGGATTTAACTGAAGGTCATTAATAGCTGTTTACCTTCCATGTTGCCTTAAGTATTTCTATATAATTCTAACGTGCCAAAAATATACACATGAATTAAGCACCATTTGTCTTTAATCTTGGCTGTAAATTGAAAATACACAATTCCTATTTTCCTACAACTACTACACTTAAATCCAATTCATTATACAACTGTTGCAAAATAAAACGATAGATTTTGAAGGAGCAATTTATTTTCCTTCAGATTAAGTTTTGTAACAAAAACATTTCGTATTTTTTTAGTGCTGGGAATCCCGAGTAGGACAAGAAATGTATAAATTGATGATATTTGACTTCATTATTATTGCATCTGTTACATTGTTTGTGGAATTTCCCAGAAAGTAAGTCTGCCTCCCTCTCATTCCTCGCTGTCAAAAAGATTGGTGAAGAGAACTATATTTTTATATCTTTGTAATCTTTTGCTAAAATCTATTAATTTTTTTGAAGACCTCTGTGTGATTCATTTATCATTTTGGTGAAACTTTTTCCTGCCTGTTAATTTACATATGATCGCACACTTTATTTTAAAAACAATATTGAATAGTATGTTTTAACATTAGGATAACTACTGTACTTATTATTTTTGATTTTCAGGTTGATCGTAACGTATTGCTCTTGTGCTCCTGCTAAGTGGTGGGGTCAGCAACAGTTTGCTATTCCTCAAAATGTGTTGGAAATTGTATATGGTCAGACTATCTGCTGGATAGGAACATTTTATTCGCCATTACTCCCTGGAGTAGCCACTGTGAAATACATCATCATATTTTACATCAAAAAGGTACGTAGAGTTACAAACTCCTGATAAATATTTATTGAGTTTACAACTTTGCTCCATTTGACAATAACTTTGTTTAATTTTGTTGTGCTGCTTCTGACTGGTTATTGTCAATAGCTGATGACGAAATATGATTAATTCGTGTTTCCATTTTTTGAGACTCACTGAATTGAAGGGGGGGAAGGTTATACAGTAGCTGTCAAAAATTTTCCTGGATTTGCAGATAACTTTGATGCACAACTGCCGTCCATCTACCAGACCTTTTCGGGCATCAAGTTCCAACTTTTTCTTCTTGGGTGTATTGCTGCTCGGCCTTCCATTAGCCTGTGTGCCTATCCTGTTCAGTGTTGCAGAGTGAGTAGCTATTGATTATTGACGAAATAGGATTTCATCCTGTACTAAATTAGTATTGCTTTGAAGCTCAAATAAAATGCTGTGTTATTTGGTGGATTGAAATTTTTTAGATGACGCTAAATGGAAGACGGATGTAGAACTTCATTTAACACAGCTATTGGTCATTGGGTTACTATTGACTTCATATTCATTGCTAGTTTAATGTTATTCTACTAATTACCACAACTTTGGAGCAGAAATGTAAATCAGACTTCCTGCTTTGAACCACAGTATTGTCTGAAGTAATACCGTAGCAGAATAAACCAAGCATCAGTTGCTACTTAGAATGGGTCCAGCTTGTGCATTTGTACTTTTAAGTGAGCTGCATTAGGATAGTGGTAATTACAGTAATTAGGCCAAGATGACTACAGCTTGCAATGATTATTCATTGACATTAAGTCAGGAAGCTGAAGACATCAATAATGTTTCTAACTGATTGGTTTTAAAAAAAATTCTGATGAGCGAATATTTTTTAACAGAAATGTTAGGAGTGCCTTTAGAGAAACGTGTGAGCAGTGCTTTGTCATTGAAATCAGGATAAATGTTGACATATGATTACCCCCCTCTCCCCCCCGCCCCCCCCATTTTTCATTAGAATTGCCTCATCTGATTCGTGTGGGCCATTTATTACCTTCAACACTACATGGCAAGTTGTACCAACAACTGTCCAAACTTTCCCAAAGGGTCTGCAGAATATTCTGTATGGCTTGGGCTCTGAAGCTTTTGCTGTACCTTTCTTCATGGTGGTTTGGTAAGAGCATTGGATCATTTATGGTGAATAATCAGCAACACAAACATGTTTATAGTCGTCACATTCCGCACACACGCGCTCGAAGAAAATGTGACTTCTCCGGCAACTAGCATAAAATGAGTTATCCATTTGACGCAACAAATACGGCAGACTGTTGGTTCATCCTGTCAACTATCAACTTGTTTGCGGGCTATGCACATATGCATTCACATCTCCTAAATAAGCTGATAAATACTGAGCACAGGTTGATGATTTCAAATTCATGAAACTATTAAAAGTTCTAGTGTATGCCAATCAGAATTCACAGATGGGTGAATTTATACGTAGTACTCTAGGTTTAGAAATCGATTTTGCTTAACTAATACCCTTTCAATTTATACCCACAGCCTCATCCTTTTTTATTTTATTGCTTTGGCTGGAGCACACAAGCGCATTGTTGATCAGCTAAGAGTACAGCTGTCTATGGTGAGTGTTTTATAATGCCTTGATTATTGAATGTTTTCGACCGATTCGATTAATATCTTTATATAACCCTGCATCGAACTACAGCTTGCATTTTAAACAAAATATCTGGACACTTGGAGCAAGAAGTTCCACTAGTTTATAAAGTACTAGTTTATAGAGCACGTGTCTCACAAGCAAGAGACTTGGGTTCGATTCCCGGCAGGGCAAAACCTTGGGCAAGTTTCCTTACTCCACACGCCTAATAATAATCTCTCAAGAAAAAATAATAATTTGGTCACTACAATCCACGACTGTTTGTGGGACACTGCTGTGCGCAATTGGCTGCCACATTTTCGCCCACAAATATAGTCAATTCACTTTACAGTATATTCTGTGAAGCGCTTTGAGACGTCTAGAAGATGTGAAAAGTGCTATATCAAATGCAAGGATTATTATTACTCGCCTTGGTGACATTCACTTAGTATGGGAAATCCCACTATAGGACAATGCTGCCAAGGTTGATAATTTTACCCAGCAGTGGAATTGTATCCCAGAGATGCATTGGAGTCTTAAGTACATAACTGCATGTCAAGGAAGCATTACTATGTTTTATCTTTAGTAATAGCAGTAGTTTAGGATATGAGCACCATAAGTGTAATTTGTCTATAAACAGTGACTTTCTGTTTGTGACTTATCTGCAGGAGGGTCGTGACAAACAGTTCCTAATCAGAAAACTGACTGAGGTTCAGACGAAGAATACTTTGCCAAGGAAATATGCCAATTTTCCCTCATCAATTTCATCTACAATCATACAACCAGATTAAAATGAATTTTATGCATCACAGAGCAATAACATAAAGGCAAATAGGAGGATTTTGTGCATTGGAACATATCTTTCCCAAGACAATGAATGCTTTTGTATGGCCGGTCTTAGTTGAAAATGCTTCTAGTCACTATTTTTGTTACGAAACCTTCTTAAATTTTACCTTAAGTTTTAAATCAGTGCCTCATTGATGATCTGCCGCCTTCAGACTTGCGAAACATATTGTAATCTTTAATGATAGCGGTTTCAAGAAAACTACCGTCATATAATTCCTTCAAAAAGCAAACCTTTCAAACCCTAATGTCTAAAAATATTTATCTATGAATATCAATATAATTAGTCAATTCAATAGCTGTTTCATATAGGGCTTTGCTGTGCCTTTAAGCGGCATAATGCCAGAAAATGTGTCCAAGAACAACTGTATACTCCTCGTCTAATAACCGTTGGAGGAAAATGTTTACAGTTCTTGATATACTTATGTGGTTTATGGCATTTAAAATTTAGCAATTTTTGAATCCACTCTAAACTTAGAAATATATGTTTTGTTTTAGTTCTTAAAAGAACATATAAACATGTAAACTGGCTTCAAAATTAAGGCTGCATTTAAGAATTTGCCAAATTCAGTGTACTCCAAATGTTACATTATACAGAATAAATTTAGACCCAACTGGAATTTTTCCCCATATACAGTATTTTCCTACAATAATTAACTTTTGCTCTAACACTTTACAAAAATACTAACTTTAAAATAAAAAATCTACTTTATAATGTATAATTGGCTCCCACTCCCTGCTCGGGTGCAAACCATTGACTCGGTGCCTTTGGACATCCTTCCAACATGAAAGTTGTTTATATCAATGGAAATTTGTGGTGCCTTTGTTTTGTCAGCTGCTAAAAATGTAAGTTTATAATCCAGTCCTTTGCTATGAGTGTGATTCCTGAAAAACAAAATATTGTAGTACTTACATATAGATATGCAGATTTCCCAAACTTCAGATCTTTGGTGTCATCTCTATACTTCATTATCGTAGTTGGTTTATTTTGTACAGGAGTTTCCACATTTCTGATTTATTCAATGTCATACAAGTTTTCAGCATTACTTTCTTTATTTTTACTCTATTACATAACGTATTATTATATGCATTTATTACTTCTACATTCCTCAGGAACACTATGAAATATTCAGTGGGAGTGTTTGTGAATGGGAAAATGTCATTCTTGTAACTTTCAGGGATAATGGCTCATCAGTTTACATTGTGCTACCATTTCTAAAGACTTTTTATCCAACTGCAACTTACAAGTATTTTCTTGGGGCTTTATGATATGGATCATCAATTTTAGACTGTTGGGAGTCTTTTTAACAGTGTACTTTTGTGTAACAAAATGCTTTCATAAAAAGTTTTGAGTTATATACTTTTTCTGTAAAATACAAAATCCAACTAACTTTCTCCTTTTGGATTAAAAATGAGTTCAAACACTATTGATTTGTGTTTGTTTTGTTGAGTGTTTAAGTGCATTTCCAAGCCTCTCCAGTGTGAGTAAAATTGCAGTCGAACCTCATTATAACAAACCCCCAGTCGTATATCGGTGTTCATTATAATAGGGTTTGGCTGTCAAACAGGTGCACCGCCCCGCTGACCTGGATTGCCATTGGGATCCTCATTATAAACAAGGTTCGTTTATAGTGAGGTTCGACTGTATTACAAAGCCACGATAAAGCATATTTCCTTTAACTTGTTACTATTAACAATGCTTCAACTCTAAAATCATTCTCATCATTCTTTACGTTAACTCAATCTGGTCTCCAGATCTCGATTCGTATTCCGGACTTGGATTGGGACGAGAATCTTGAACCAGCGCTTGTCATGGACGCCCTCTTAAACACTTGAGTCTTGATAGAACAATGAGAAAAGCATTGCATAGAATATACAGTCACTATAATTTACAGTATAAAGCTATGAACTGCTCTTGAGATACTTCAGTAATGTGATACATCAAATGCAAGGCTCGTTATTAATAGGATAAAAAAAATTAACGAGCTGCAGCCCATCTTCTGAGCATTTGTGCAACATTTTTTTTCCTGCCAGCAGATGTCCACACTCCACTTTGCAATTTAGTGACGGTCAAAACTTAATATCCTTTAGAAGTCTTCATAATCTTTGTAAATCGTACAATGTGAGACCCGATAATGTTAACAATATTCCTGGCATTTGACATGATGATGATGATGATGATGATGATAATCCTCGCATTTGATGTAGCGCCTCATCCACGCCTTCGAGACGTCTCAAAGCACTTCACGGGATATGCTGTAAATTGTATATTTTGTGGGTGAATATATAAATATATATACGTGTACAATATATGGTAAGTATTGGGTCTGATCTTTGCCCATTAAACTTTAGGGACACTTTCATGTGGTCCCTTTATTATGTGTGTGTGTGTGTATATATATATATATAAACAACACACACAAAAGAGATTGGTGCTCAACATCTCCACTTCTGTTTGATAAGCGGCTCTATCAAATGTAAGGATTATTATTATTATTATATAATTATTGCTGTTATTGTTCCTGACTCCAGGACCCACAGGAGCAGCTGCTGACAGGCGCTCGCTGGGTCGAGGGGGTGACGTCACAGTGCGGCGCCCGGGTTGACGTCACAGTGCGGAGCCCGGGGGGGCGACGTCACAATTAGGCGCCCAGAGTGAGAGAAGCCCCCCCCCCACGACCACCACCACCACCTCAGGGCTGTGAGGCCTCCCGCCCGCCCTCGGGGATGCAGAGAGCGGTTTGCGCCCCTCTCGTCGCCGGCCGGAGCGTCGGGCTCGGCCCGCGGTCGCCACAGCGGCACCGGGCGCACGAGCACAGCTGCTGGTACCGAGCCCGGCCCGCGAGGCCTCTCTGCAGCTCCGCCTCGGCCTCCGCGCAGGGCCGCCCCGTCGCCGGGGCGATGCTCGACCGGATCATTCGCGTGGATCAGGCCGGGGAGTTCGGCGCTAACCGTATCTACGCGGGGCAGATGGCTGTGCTGGGCCGCACGGCGGTGGGGCCTGTGATTCAGGTCGGTTCTCGCACTGGGCTTTACAGTTCAAGGTCCTGGTCCTCGCCATAATAATAATAATAATAATAATAATAATCTTTGCATTTGATATAGCGCTTTTCACGTCGGGAGGACGTCCCGAAGCGCTTCACAGAACACACTGTAAAGTGAATTGACTGTATATTTGTGGGCGAACGCGGCAGCCAATTGCGCACAGCAATGTCCCACAAATAGTCGTAGATTGAAAATGACCAATTTATTATTGTTTTTGGTTTTGGAGGGATTATTATTAGGCTCTGTGTGGAGTAAGGAAACTTGCCCAAGGTTTCGCCCTCTGCCTGGAATTGAACTCAGGTCTCTCGCTTGCAAAGCGAGTGCTCTAACCACTGAGCTGCAGGACTCCCACGAGGGCCTTCAAAGCCCTCCATGGCCTCTTCCCCCCCCCCCCACTCCCGACCTCTGACACCTCCTCAGCCCCGACCATCCCTCCCTCTCCTTCCCCTCCCTCCCCCCGCTCAGCGGGCTCCGGTCTGCTCCACGTCCCCCGCCTCGCTCGCTCGCCCCACTATCGGTCCTTCCGCCGCTCTGCTCCACTCCCGTCCCGCAGTCCCTCACCTCACCTCCTTCAAGACCCCGTTCTCGAGACCCTCTTCGACTGTGCTCTTGATCTCCCCGCACCCCCTCCACCCTCCCCAATCCCGACCCCAGCTCAGGTCCGAAACTCAGCGCCTCGGGACGTCCCCTCGACGTGAAAGGCGCTCTGCAAATGTAATGTTGTTGTTGTTTTGACAATAACAACAACTTGGATTTGTATTGTGCCTCTCACTGAAGGTCAGCACCTCCAACGATGTAATAACACTACCCCCAGCGCTGTATTATAAAAATAATAATAACACATTATTATTGTAATACGTAATGCATTTGGGGAGATGATTATTTGGGGAGGACAAGTTTGCAGGGCCATGGGGTTAGGGCAGGGGAGTGGGGTTGATTTGGAAGCTCTTTTAAAAGAGCCGACACAGACACGATGGGCTGAATGACCTCCTTCTGTGCTGTATAATTCTATGATTCTATGGTTTTTATAGCGGCTTATCATGTCTTCAAAGCGCTTCACAGAATATACCTTAAAGTGAATTGACTCTGTTTTGTAGGCGAAACAATAACAACAGCTTGGATTTATATGGTGCCCCTCACTGAAGGTCAGCACCCCCAGCGCTGTATTGAAGGCTCAGCTTAGAACTGTTAAGTTTAAAGTCCCGACGTGGGGCTTGAACCCACAACTTTCTGTCACAAAACACCAACAACAAAATTACATTCGTATAGTGCCTTTCATGCCAAGAAGATGTCCCAAGGCGCTGGACAATCAATGTTTCAGATCTGAGCTGGGGGTTGGGATTGGGGAGGGTGGAGGGCAGGAGGTGATCGAAAGCACAATCGAAGAAGAGGGTCTTCAGACAGGTCATGAAGGAGGCGAGGGAGGTGGCGAGGCGGAGGGACTTCGTGATGGAGTTCCAGAGGGTGAGGGCAGAGTGGCAGAAGGCCGGCCCGCCTGGATTGGGCGAGGATGGGGGTGATAGGGTCGCAGAGCCTGGTGCAGGCTTCAGAGTTCTGGATGATCTGCAGCCTACAGAGGGAGGATTTGGGGAGGCCGACAAGCAGGGAGTTTGCGAAGAATGTGTGTATGAGGGTCCGGAAAGGGTAAGTGCTTCCAAACTGAGCCAGGCCTATTACCTATGTCAAATGTCCCAGAGCGCTTCACAGTGGCGGAGCACATCGCCAAGCCTGGGAGAGATGAGAGGTAACCACTGTTGAATGAAGGTCTTCAGGCGTGATCTGAAGATGGGGAAGGAGGGGGCAAGACGGAGGAAGAGAGTTCCAGAATTTTGGGTCGTAGTGGCTGAAAGTGTGGCTACCGATGATTTAGCTTGGCTTCTACACTGACACTCAGTTTAAAACTGTGGGAAATAATATATTGCCAATATGGCACCATAAAAGATCTGTACTGACACTCATAAAAGCTGAGGTCACAGGACGGTCTAACTTATGCCCCGAAAAATACAACAGAAACTTTTTAACCACCATTGATGAACACGTAAACATATATGTCTAATCTTTTCACATCTAGCATCTGTTATACTCCACTGATTCAGTATGACCACGATTCCAAGTTATCGATTTCCTTCAATCACTTCAATCATCCTTCTATAATAATATTTTTGTGGTGATGGGCAAAAAGTAACTGTGAAAGAATGATTGAAATAAAAAAATTGACAAGTGTTGAAGTACATATATACAACTCGGGTACGGGAGGACCTTGTCTTCATTTGTACACGTTCAAGTGATGTCTAAGATCGGCGTGAATACATAGAATTACATAGAGTGATATAGCACAGACACAGGCCATTCAGCCTATCCAGTGTGTGCCAATGTTTATACTCCACTTGTACCCCCAACCCTCCTAATCCCCTACCCTATATGCTTCTATTCTCTCTCATGTGTGTGAAGAAGTTCCTCCTAAACTGCCCAGTAGAGTGACTACTAGCTTGCTTATCAGAATTGTATTGCCTCTAAGCAGACACCTTTGTCAGCTGGGCAATTGAGACTATGAAAGAAAATAAATGTCACTGTAGGTTTGCCAGATGGTGTATTTTTGCAAAAAAAAATGTATATAATTCATTGATATTCTTACTATAGCGAATGTGGGATCAAGAAAAAGAACATCTGGAGAAATTCAATGAAATGATGATTGATCAAAGGGTTCGACCTACCATTTTAATGCCTTTCTGGAATATTGCAGGGTTTGCGCTAGGTAAGTGCTGGTATAGTTTTAACTGCTGGGTTGCCTGATCCTGTGTAATATATAATCAGTGCAAATTAAAATTTGTTTCTATCTTGGTATAGGTGCTGGAACAGCTCTTTTAGGTAAAGAAGCTGCAATGGCCTGTACAGTAGCAATAGAGGAGAGTATATCACAACATTACAACAATCAGATCAGGACGTTGATGGAAGAAGATTCAGAAAAACACAATGAATTACTTGAAGTAAGTGTGTTACGTGTAGAGTCGGAATTTGTTTCAATTCAGAGACAAAAGGCTTATGTTATTGAAATTATATAAGGGCATGTTAAATGTATTGTGCTATAGTTTTGTTTTGAGTATGTTACTTCAAGACTAGGAAATGTCATGTTACCTATTGTTCAGTGAGTTTATGTCATGAGCTCTTCAGCCGAGTTTGATCCCTAATCTTTCTGGTTAACTGTTCTCAGACAGGGTAACAACAGGGCACTTCACGTGGCTTCAGCATCCCAGGTTAGGGAGGGAGAAATCAGTTCACATCTGCTGGAGGGCAGGTGTGTGAATGTCAGGTGAGGACAGAATTAGGCTCAGGGGGTACTCCTACATTTAGTGGGTTGCTAGAAAAGTATGTACTGTTATAATACCTGGCAGTACTGATCATCGAGGCTCACGACATTTGGGCAAGGTTGCAGAGGTGATTGGTGCCTGTGAAACAACACTCTAGTAGAATTGAGTCAAATGCTTTTTGACAAAATATGGAGAGAAGGAAATTAGTGAATCGAAAAAAGACAGAAAATTCTGATAAATCAGTAGAGGTGTACTGCACCGACATAAGGATTTCTAGTTTTCAGGACTGAGACTACCATTCCACACTAATTAATCAAGAATAGTTTGTTCTTCATAGTTAGTTTTTTTTCTCAAAATGTGCAAATACAATATATAAACATGCCTCCGTTTTAGTTATTAAAGAAGTTCAGAGATGAAGAAATGGAACATCATGATACAGGATTAGAACACGAGGCAGAACTGGTAGGTATAATGGATGGTGATGTTTGGTGTTGTACATTGTAATGGGTTAAATAGCATTCTTCAGCCTCTCTGCCGTACCCTTTGGAACTCCAAACCCACAGTCCCTTCACCTTATATCCTTTAAGGCATGTCTCAAGACCTTCCTCTTCGACCACACTTTCAGCCACCCTCCTACCCACCTTCATCCCAACCCACCCTGTTCTGGTCCAAATCCCTGACTGTCCAGCACCTTGGAATCTCCTCCCGACGTGAAAGGTGCTATACAAATGTAATTTGGATTGTATTGTAGCTGATCTGGTGGCTACACACACTTGTGTACTAATGAACTATGACACAGAGGTGTAGGATATTGGTTCGGTTTCTTTGTGGTGATTATGTGATCTCGGCCAGCGGAGGCCCTGATGCGAGGTCAGCCCCTCTTTCAGGAGAAGAATAAAAAACCTGACCTGACTCAAGTTATTGTAATGCAGATTTAGTGTTTAACTCGAATAGCACTGTAGTCAGCAGTGACACCTGTCAATTCTCTTGACTGATGCAAATGCTGGAAGAATTTTTTTGATGTAAGTGTTTTTGTAAGCTGCAATTGGAATTACATTTTCAGTTAAATAAAAATGCAGTGTGCTGGATACCAATAGCTGGCTTGAATATTTTTTTAGGCACCTGCTTATACAGTACTGAAGACTGCCATACAGATCGGATGCAAGGCTGCTATCTACATGTCTGAACGTATTTAAACCGTTGTCTCTTCATAAAATTGATGGGTTTTCTGAAACCGTGCAATCTGTCGAGTCGAATATGTAAAAAGAATCATTAAAAATATTTTGTCAAAAAAGCAGCGTGCTTTTCTTGCTCTCAAATAATTTTTTTACACCATGCTGGAACATGACAGTCGGGGTCTGAATGCCACAAATAAATAAGCCTTGAGGAGAGAATTGAACAGTGTATATTTTGAAAGACCATTATCTACTCCAAAAAGTTAATGTGAAGATAGGATAACAGCTGAAATGCTGCCATTGTCTTTAGTACTCTTGGCTAAAGTGTGTTATCATTTACTACTTTTAGGAAAGATTTTTTCCCCATATCTTTGTGATGCAAAATTTTCACTAAGGTATTTTAAAGTGGAGGATTTTTAATCATAGATACTAAATAACATGTAACATCTTGCATTCCAAGTTGCTCACATGTCTTATTGCAAGCACCCAGCGAAGATGTTTGAATTATGTTGTGAGTAACATCATTTGTGTTCTCATCATAGCACCCTTGACAAGTAAACGATTTGTTGGTATATGGCAAGCAGTGATATAGTTTACATGATAAAAGATAAACAAAATACTCTAGGTTTTAGATCAGTCTATGTAATATTTGGCAAACGCTAATTTGTCCATTTAAGATATATCAATCTGGTGTCATTTGTTATTTCTCCACCTCTCTATATCAAAACAAATGAAGAAGCCAACTCGTAATCTTATTGCATTTGACTGCAAATGAAAGTTCAAACTTGCTATAAATCACAAAACATTTTGCGGAGGGCATGTAAGCAATCATTCTTAACAAAAACATTGCTGCTATTCATCGAGTAAACCTTGTTCCAAAAATGAAATCACACCTTGGCTTCATTCCAGCCCTGTGCTGTCAATGACTTGGATAGGATGAATCAAAACATGGTTGTACAAGTGGCTTTGATTTTCCTTTGCACTGGAGAACATTTGTAAGCATTGCATGTCTGGCATTGGAATTGCAAAAAGTCATGCATTTTTATGGATCAGAAATCCAGGTGAATAAAGTACTGTAGAGTTTTGCTTTGACCAGAGTTCCATCAAAAATTCCAATGCAGTTAAACTCTGAACAATATTTATTATGTTTTAATCAGACAGTTTGCCAATAGAGTAATAATAATAATCCTTGCATTTGATATAGCTCTTTTCACATCTAGACTTCTCAAAGCGCTTCACAGAATATACTATAAAGTGAATTGACTATATTTTTGGGCAAAATGTCAATTGCGCACAGCAGTGTCTCACAAGCAGTTATGGATTGAGTGACCAAATTATTTTTTTTTGAGGGATTATTATCCTTGGAAAAGTGATCCGCCAATCGACTAACAACCGGGTTCCTACTCACTGCTAGGTGAACAGAGGTATGTGGAGTAAGGAAACTCGCCCAACATTTAGTCTTGCCGGAAATTGAGCCCAGGTCTCTCGCTCGAGAGGCAAGTGCTCTAACCACTGAACTACAGGACTCCCATGTTCACGAGTGGGATTTTATTGAGGTTCCGAAGTTGATTTCATCAGTAAACATAATATCTTAAGTTGTTTGTAAAACATTAAATGTATCTAGGGAGAGAATAATGTTATTCATAACATTGATTGGTGAAAATTAGAAACAGGAGCATTACTACGTAACCCGAGTTTCCAATTTCTGGTTCTAACAATATACTATAATTATGTACACTACTCTATTTAAGATTGTGTTATATAATGACAATTACATGCCTTCTTTGTAATAGGTTTCTCAGATTTACAAGCATTTCCAGTTGCAAACTAATTATAGTACCATTCACCTACAAATACAGTCACCACACTTTACAGTGAATCCTAGTAAAGTTCTTTGAGACTTTTCAGATGTAATAAAGCGCTATAACAAATGCAGGTTCTTTTATTATTCATAGATTAGAACCTCTACAATTGGAACTGTATTCTTAGTACAATAAAAGTACCAAGATGCGTATATTTCTAAAAGCTGTTTTTTTAGTTTAGTAATTTTGTTTCTGGTTGTATCTGGGGGTTTATATATAAATGGGATTATATATCTCAACAGGTGAATTAACGAGATTACATTTTATTGTAAATAGAGTCATCTGTACGTGGAGAAAGGAAAAATTGGAAAGTGACTGGTGGGAGATTGGGAATAGGTTAGATACTCAGCGACTTGATTAAGAGTGGGGCTTGAGGTGAAATCAATAGGAAAGGAGAAAAATATTGTGCAGAAACTCACCCTCAAAATAAAATGAGACCTCTAAGGTAATTCTTGCCAGAATAGGACTTATATCCACTTGTGTTTGGACAGCCTTGCACTTAGTTATGTTTGCTGTATTGAACCCATAATTTGGGGAGTAACATATCTACCTATGTTGCACATACAAGCATGTGTGTTAATACATGAAGAAGGAACTTCTTAGTTTGACACATTAGTTGAATATAGAAATATTATTCCCTGCAATTCCCTACAAAACAAATCACTTAATTTCAAATCAGTTACATTTTGTTAAGTTCCTTTTTTTCGCGAAAGGCATTATGTAAATGAAAGTTGATATTATTAAGATATAAAGACTGACATTGATTTTTAACAATAACAACAATTTGCATTTATATATAGTCCCCTATAGGGCTTTTAATAATTGAGGTAATGCGTATTTTTATATGTGAATGTAGAATGAGACCTGCAATCACTAATGTAATAGTTGGTTATTACTTACCGCTGAGAGCTATTCTAACAGTTTGTGATGATTTAAAAGTGTTGCGTGATTCAACAGTATTGAATCCACTGCTTTCAAGTACAAAAATGCCTTGCATACCAAATAATTCATACGTGACCGGTTCAAACAAGTATGCACCATTAATCTCCTCATGGCTGCCAAGATCTTTAATTCACTTGGACAGTTTGCACCGGCCCATCTTGATCTGGCAAGTAAAGCATCTGTCTCTTTTATAGCTTAGATCGTACAAATAATTCTAATGTTCGATATAACTGGTGAATAAATCGTTCAACTAGTGATGATTTTCCTCCGTTTTTTTCTTTCAAAATGTTGCTCTTTAGCAAGAAAAAATAATTTCAAACCAATATAGTTTGGAGTAGGCTTTTATTAGTTAAAGTTACAACTAGTTTAATTGATGAAAGTTAAAACTATATTTCAATCCAAATATTTTACAATTGCATTGTATGTTAAACAATTCATTTATATAATGTTCTAATTACAATGTATGTCATGAGAGAGTGGATTACGAATGATACTTTACGAAACAAGTCACTCAGCCAGACTTAGGGTACTATGAATTCTGTGGTACTGATCTTAAAATCCATTTAATATTTGTCAACCATCAACTCCTCCAGTTTCTGAGTGCATTTGTCCACTGAGTAACTGAACCGTATAGATCTTTGATTTGATCTTGTCTGTCGATTTGCAATTAGAAGATTTCAGATAAGATTTCGAACCGTTAGTCATTACCAGTGAATCCCAGAGGGGAATGTGTATGTGTGTACTTCATCAGATATAGGACACAGTCGAATAGCTTACAGAAACTCACTGATAAGACTTGCACATCTTGAATTGCCACTTGGACACAGGTACTGAAGGACAAAGAGCGTCTACAGAACTAAACCCCAGCAGAAGGATACAATGCTTTGATTCAATATTAAACTGCATAAAAATTCTCAATACGTCTGGAAAAGAAACTCATTGTAATGCTAAAATGAAATGTGAGCTCTACAGGTTTATTAGTAGATTTCTGGAAATTATTTAATTTTATATGACCTCTTACATTCAGTCAAATGCAAAAAAATTCTTGACAAGTGATGGCAACTATACATAAAATGTAAGCGATAGTCTGTCATGTCAGAAACCATAAATTATTCCTCCAGGATCATCTTTCAGTTGCATGTGAAGACCATCTGCTGATACAAAGGTAAAACTTGGATATGAGGCTCAGCTTACAAAATGCCAGCAAATGCTTCAGCTTTCCCAGCCGCTGGCTTTTGTTATTTAACTTGCATTTGCATTTAACTTAAAATCCAGGAAAGGGGTAGAAGCCGTGAATGTGTACTGTGGCATCCAGTTGTGGTAAAAGTAGTTAAGACTATTGTGTCAAATCGTAAGGGTGTGAACTGGGCTCCAGAGACAATGTAGAGGAAAGCAACAAGGGTAATCGCCTGTGTTAGGGGGATGGGTTTTGAGGACTAATTAGGATTCTAATTAATAATTAGGATTGCGTTCCAGGGGTAATAATCCCTTCGAAGTATACAGTCAATCCACTTTGCAATATATTCAGTGAAGCGCTTTGAGACGCTCTGATAAGGCACTATATCAAATGCAAGGATTATTATTATTTCATCAGCATTGAAGAGAAAATCCTCTGAGAGAAGAGATAAATAAGGTTTTCTTTAAACTGCTGTGGTCTTAATAGCAACGGTGCTTGCAAATATAGTTGGTCTTCACTTCACTTAATGCCACTTTCATCATTTGAATCCAAGTAACAAAAATGGTAAATTTGCTGTACACCAACGTTAGAATGATAAGATCTTAATAAAACAATGGTTCAGTTAATAACTTGTTTGTCATATGGTACCTACTTACTCAGAGGAATAATGATCTGTGATCTCATTCAGTTCTTATATTTCTTAAGGAAAATACCCCCTTTTCCTACTTGTTTGTTTGTTATACATTGATGATTTATCGTTATTGCATGACCACTGTAATGCTCTACCTTTCTGAAAGTTAATGAACTAATGACTATGTTCAGAAACTATTATGAGAGGGTTACACCATTTTTGGACTGCACCTGACAAGGTCAAAACTGTGAACAGCTCAGTGATGAATTAGTGCCTTTGGGAACTTTGGGTGTTTGTACTGATGTGACCGAAGTTGCAGTTGGGTTCAGTCACTTCGCTTTCTGGTTATTGCCTCTGGAAAAGCAGTGTCTGCAATTACGTTGCCTCCAAATGCCTAGCAGTCTTTTGCGGTTAGAGTTTTACCTTGGGACAGCGTAAAAGTATGTTCCTTTTCATAATGCAGAGACAAAGCATTTGGTTTTGTATGCTGATCAGACAGCCACTTGACTCTAAGAGCTTAGAGTTTCTTAACCACGGTATGTGGCTGTGTCTGCTGGCCACATAACCAAAATAAAACAATTAACTGTATCTTGTTTAAGGCTTTAACACAATATTTGGGGGATCAAAAATCAAAGGCAGATTAAACTAAATGCAGCAATTTGGAAGGGGAGTCTATTCAGTTAATGGCAATGCATTGGTGCTATATGCCTGTGGTTTGCTGGAAAAATGCAAAGCACAAGCATTAGGGCTTCGACAATACTCAGGTGCTGATAACTTTATTTCAGTCGGTTATCGTGATGGAATTAGTATTAATTCTAATCCTTATTAATCAATCCGAATTTTAAAAATCGTTCCCTATCGGTTGTAATGTTTCAGAACAACTTTGTAAGAATAGAACATATTGACATTTTCCCACGTAATTCTTTGAATCAGTAACTGAGATTCATTAGCACAGTAAGCTCATTTGACTCTGGCGACCTTCTGTCCTAAATAGACAGCGAAGGAGGTATTATTGTAGCATTGGCTATTTCTAAAGTAAGGTTACACCAAGTGAGCTTTTCTTTTCGAAGTCAGCATACAAAACCAAGAATGGCAAAAGGAAGACATTATTATTTTCGATGGATGGGAACAGCTCATATTGTGTAAAGTTGTTTGTGTCATTTCCAGGACCAATGAAATATTCTGTTTACCAAGTAAAAAAAATAATTGTGCTGCTAACTTTCTTACAGTAATGAGCAAACAATAAGAATGAACAAACCAATGAAGAAAACACTTACTGATCGTAATTTCTTAACCCAGGGTTATACTGTGTACTTATCTCAACATTGGCTTCGGGATTAAGTGACTCAATTAAAGGTCAGTTTAAAGGAGGCCATTCAGCCAATTGTAGCCGTGTTCAAACTACATTAGTTCTGTACTGGAGTTATCCACTGTAATTATTTTTTCTTAAGAAAAGGTCTTGTTTCATTTCTCACTATAGATTTCAAATTGCTGGGACATTATCCTGACAGGCTATCACATTTCAAAGCTAAAACATCTATTGAAATGTTGCAAAACTATTTTGAAATTGAAAACATGAAATCTATTGACTGAGCAAAAAGTCCATCAGGTTGTTAAATTGCACGATAACCTATTTTATATATAATTTCATGATTGTGAATGGCCCATTGCTGTGTGCAAATTGCTGCCACATTTGCCTGCAAATACACGGTCACTACACTTTACAATAATAATAAACCTTGCAATTGAGACGGAGCCTTATCACGTCGTTGAGATGTTTCAAAGTGCTTCACAGGATATACTGTAAAGTGGACTGACTGTATTTTGTGGGCGAAACGCAATACAGTAAAATCCTGTGAAGCGTTTTAAGCTGTTTCGCAATGCGATAAGTCTTATGTCAAAAACAATTCTATTATTTAATTAATAATACGTGATTATCAAACGATATATAAGTAAACTATATTGAGACACAGAATACAGAATATTGATTTAGGAGTTTGTTCCGGATTTCAGGCTATATTTTACTAATTTAAATTTCAGGAGATAATTTTCACATGCTGAAAGAGGTTTCATATTTGTCCTTTTCATGCAACCCTTTACTTTTATGGTGTGTTTTTTTTGCATTCCTGTTGCATTCTACACCGGCCACAAATCTAGCGAATTATTGGCAGTGTCTCCATTTGAAAAGTACCAAAAACAATTTACAACAATTCGTTCATTTCTTAGATACTTGAATCTGTGGAGCACATTGCAAGGAGGTTTTGCAGAAAGACAACTGGCAAGTTTGCGTGCTATCTGAATTCACACTACAGAAAAGTGAAAACTTAATTTATTACATTGTTAAGTATTTCGAGGGGTACAAACTCCATAGTGTCTATTCAGTGCTGTTCGTGTTGGTAATTTTATAGTTGAATACTGGAAGTTGTGAAGATCAAGCTGAGGTTTGGCAGGACTTGAAAGACAACCATGCACTCGTGCAGACGAACACACCAAGTCTGTTTAAAATCTGCCCATCATTTGAAGCACAATAGTAATCTGATTTATTGGTTGTGTAAGGACCATAAAAGCAGATTGATTAGTTTAACCACAAACACAGTATAGCTTTCTGTGCACGCTGCCGATCCTTTAAAAATAGACATATATTGTAGAATAATGACAATAATAATCCTTGCATTTGAAATAGTGTTATTGCATCGTCAAGACGTCTCAAAGCGCTTCACAGGATTATACTGCAACTGGGTGTACTTTGTGAGTGAACTCCCAGTGGAACCAAAGATCCTTGATTCTTATAGCTTTTGCTGGGCATCATCATCTTCTAAGTCAAGTGTGTGTCCAGGGAATGCCATTGCCATTAGCATCGAGTGCCAGTTGATCACTGAGCCAAGGAGAAACGGGAGGTAACTGTAGGTAAGGTCGAAGAAGAAGGTAATCAGGTGCGATCTGAAGTCGGGTGAGGCAGATGGCTTGAGGCAAGAAGTTCCAGGGTTTGGTGGGGATATTGGCTGAAAGCACAGGTGCCAATGGTGGAGCAGAGGGGATGAATTCAGACCAACAAGAGGGTTCGTGATCTTTGGAGTTGTGCAAAATGTCAACAATTTACCCTTAATGAAAATCCTAAGCAAAGTCAGGAAAAAAATTGTTTAGCTTTCAGCCGCGGTCAGTGTCAGCTTATGCTCAGGCAGGCTTCTGTAACTAGTGCACGTACCTTCAATTTGACCGGCAATTTGCAGGTGAGCTAGGTCCAACGCTATTCTTTTTTTTAAATAATACGTTTTTAAAGCATTAAAATGGCCTCAAGTTAACCAGGACACATTCTACGAGCTCTCAAGGAAAGGATTTCAGTGGTGTGTGACACAAGACCATTCAGGTTATTTATAAATCAGCATCTTTAAAAAGTAACCCAGTGACCCTTTTCCACAGCGGCACAGAAAAGCCCAGAAAAGTAACAGTCGGGATGAAGTTTCAGGCACCCCATAGGTTGATGCTGTAGCTTCAGGCATTTGACAAGAATGAAGATTGATGGCTTTGGGGCCTGTGCGTTAGAATCAAAGTGTGACTTGTTCCATTCAGTCATCTTGGAGCAGTTGTTAGCTCAAAGCAGACACTTTTGGGCCATGCTAACAGACAACCAGCTCATCTCAATCGGTTCCCAGTTCTCAAACCAAAAGAAAGGACACATCTCGTATCCTATTTCTTCACCCGCTCAGGTAAAACAGACAGACAGAGAGAGAGAGAGAGAGAGGGGGGGGGGGGGGGGCTTTTGCGCATTTGTATTTTAAAAGGAAGCGTTTTACATTTAGGTAGCACTTTTCCCATCGGGAGGACATATCAAGCCTCTGAAAACGATCAATATTGGATCATATCTTTTCTTTGTCGAGCTCAGGCATTTGAATTAAGGCAAAGTTTGGACAAAAGTTATGAAGTTTGTATAACTCATGTTTCTAATACCCCGCAGTAATAATCCTTGTAATTTGTTATTTTAGCAAAAAACAGAGGGAATAAACCATTGACATAATTCTAACAGTGGGGAGAAATTCACTGTTATTAGCACTAGTTTAACAGAGTTAGTACCTAAGGTATATACAGCTTGAATAATTCTACAGATGTAATTTACCTGGCAATAAGAGATCTGATTCCAAGGGTACGATTGTACATGAGGATTAAGAAAGAATAATTTTGTATGCGGCTGGACAAGAGGAAACGAGGTTCAGGGTTGCAAAGGGCTATTTCAGGACAAATGCCAGAAATTATTTATTTTCCCAGCGGGTAATTATCGACTGGAAGGGAGTTCCAAGAAGGATGGTTGAGGCTAGGAAACTGGACTCATTTATGTAAAAAACACAGTTTGATGCTGTGATGGGAGGATGAGATCAAATGGGCTGAAGGACCTTTATCTGAACCTCTCTTAATAATAATCCTTGCATTTGATTTAGCGCCTTAGCATGTCATTGAAATGTCTCAAAGCGCTTCACAGAACACACTGTAAAGTGAATTGACTGTACTCTTGTGATGTATACTCTTGCTGGATCATTTACTTGTCAAACGCTCCACAGACAAATACCAGAGGCATTACCGGGTTACTGTTCTGCTGAAGATGTAGTTGCTCTTTGTTTCTGTGGGATAAAACTTGCACCGCGATCCGAAGTACAATCTCACCAATGAATTCTGCACTGTCTCAATGCGCCCTCTGATGGCTAGTTTGCTTGTTATGGTTGAAACCGAGAGGAATTTGAGTCTTCTGCAATCACATTCAGCTTTGTGCAAAAGGGAAACATTTAAGATATTTCCTGTGCTGTGTTGATATTTTCTTTTCCAGAGTAATCCTTTCTCCTTGTACAGTGTCTGTGTTGCAGATCTCAGTGCTGAACATTGCTATCGTCCCAGGTTTAGCACTTGTTTCTATTTTAATTCAAACGAAATAAAACTAGCGTTTTTTTTATATTAAGGAGGATCTATTCATAAGTGATACCAAATAGATGACGTAGAAAGAGGGCAAAAAAAAGACCTCAAGTAATTTGACCAGTTATAAAGTTACTGAACCGGAGCAGAATACTGCATTTCTCCAATAGTAAGAATCACATTAAGTTTAAATACATTTCTGCATGTCACTGATCAGGTCATTTGAAGATGAGGGTGGACCTTACCAGTAGTCAGTCTAATTGCTTTAGAGATTAAAGCATCCTTCTGTACTAAGCAGTTGGTTTCATTTTATTCCTCCAGTGACTTAGCTACTTGTCCATTTTAGGTTAGCTTTCTGAACCCACATGAAGTGATTAGTGGGACAGTCACCAAAATCCAATCGCCCTCAAATGCAAATGATTTTGGAGTAAAACCTATTTCAGAGTCAACTATTCCTGGCTTTCCCTTGAAGGCTCTTAACAGGGCAGTAAAACATTCCGAAGAGAAGCACAGATCGAAACAGCACATTTTTTACATGTTTGGAAATGTATCTGTCTCTTAGCTTTCTTTCACTGATGAGGAGCTGAGGAGCTGATACCCTAAATACACTGTCTGATTGACAAGAAGGTCTAATAACTTTAAAACTATGTGCATTGCAAGGTCATTTGGCGACTGCTTATCATCAGTGAGTAATTGCGCTGCATATTAGAAAGGAAAAGAAAAACAATCTATCAGCACAGAAAGATTGCTTGAAGTCCTGGTATGTCATTTCTGATCTCCCTTTTCCTGCACTAACAGAACCTGTCAGTCTTTGATGTTAGCGCGGGGCTTGTTCCAATGATAGACCTTAGCAGTGGCTCAATTAACACACTTGACGAATGTGGCTGTTCCAGTAGCATCGATGAATATTTGGGTTGGAGCATAGCACTCATTGTCTCCTTTAGTGATCAGCGGGTCACCCTACTGCTGTCTGAAAGATATCCAGGGCAGGATTGAATGGATAGTCTTTCTCTTCCGAAAGTCTTCCACTGACATTTATTAGTTCCTTCTGACTCCCCAGGCAGTCGAACTGAAGTCACCGAATCCAAAGGTAAAAGGTATAAAATATATTCTATGAAGCGCTTTGAGACGTCTCAACGACATGATAAATCATGTCTATATCTATATCAAATGCAAGAATTATTTTTTTTTATTATAGCATCTGTTTATTTTGTCACTGGTCTGCTGATAAGCAGCACTGAATTCCTTCATTTACTGCCCTGTTGTGTTAGTCTGTATGTTCTAAATTTTGTCCAGATAGGTGTTTAAGTGGTGTTTTGCTGATTTTTTTATCAATAGAATCTCACCGCGTTGCATTTCCACAAATTGCGAATCTTAAGCCTTACTTTACGACCCTGTTCCTGAATATTAATTCAGGTTTTGGAAAGGATTAGCTTGTGTAGACATTAAATTGGCCAATGAGTTTTCTATAAAGAGTTTCTATCCAGTTATGAGTAAAATGCAAGTTGTCTCAGGAATTTAATAAGGAGAGTAATATATACTTTTTTAAAAAAAAAAGTTGAGCGATACTTTCACTGGCTCTGTTATTTTAAGGATTCTGTGTTTTTAAAAGAAATTATTTCTCCATGAGATTCAAATGAACCAAAGCCTTGATTATCTCGACAAAGGTGAGGTGAGTGGGTGTCATCACCAGCCCTGATTAAAGTGCTCTGAGGCAGCTCCACTGACACTTTACGTCCACAGGAGTGTTATTCCTCCTGCCCCAATCCGCCTCAGAACCCCAGCTCCTTGGCGCCAGCTCAAAGGAATGTTTAGGAAGGAGAAATTCGATCCAGATGCCGACAATATAAAATCAAATTCACATCCGAGTGTGAGCAGAACCAATATTTCTTTCTTTGCCGCAGGTTGGCTTCCAGTACTGACCACCTTTGCAAAGGTAGGTGTTGTTTGAAATCTCTCTTTTTATATATATATATTGTATATATAGCATCAGATCTAACAGTTTCACTGATGGCTGTATGTGCTTTTTATTTTTCAGATCCTATCCCAGCCATGAACCTCTTCATCACTGTGATGTTCTTTGCCTTGCTGGGAGGAGGTTGCACCCAGAACAGGGCAAACCTGAAAGCTGCTGCTAAGAATTCTAACTCAAATAGGAGGAATTCAAACCCGAGCGGGGAGTCTGCGCAGCCAGTCTCTCAAGTGCCGCTTCCTGTCAATGCTACTGCATCCGAAGGCAATGGTGACAATCTGGTGTCTCACGTCAAGACTCTCGCTCAGACCCTCTATCAATGCTCAAAATCGGCGTCCACTGATGACATGAGACTAAACTTCCTGAGAAGCACATCTGTGACATGCAATGATGGCACTCCGGCTGGGTAGGAGATGCTGTACTTTTATTTTGACTTATTTAAAGGAAAATGAGTGAAGTCTCGACCATAACATGAGGTGAAAAAGTCATACATTTCCTGAGGTCGGATCAAAGTTAGCGGCAATTCCTAGTCTAGTAACTGTATTGCCAACAAAGCGTACAGTCAGTTCACTTTACAGTATATTCCGTGATGCGCTTTGAGACATTTCGAAGACGTGATAAGGCGCTGTATCAAATTGAAGGATCATTCATTGTTTGGTTTCTAATATAGTTTACGTTCATGTCCATTCCATCTGTTGCCTGTTTGCAGGTACTATTTAAGGGAGTCGAAAGGAAGCAAGCGGTGGATAATATTTTTAGAAGGTATGTGCCAAACTAACAGGTCCAAGGTCTCTTCACAGGAAGAGCATTCTGTCAATGTTATTTACAACATACCTCGTCAATCACCCACAAAATCAAACATACTAAATTGAAAATAGACCTGAATATCCTAATCCAAAAGCGTCAGCAAGTACAGAATAACGTAGGGAGAATATTAGCTGAATTGGCAGAGGTCATAATAATTCCTTCAAAAAAAATTGATCACTCTATCCATGACTGTTTGTGCACAATTGGCTACCGTGTTCGCCCACAAAATACACAGTCAATTCACTTTACAGTACATCCTGTGAAGCGCTTTGAGACATCTCAAAGACGTGAAAAGCGCTATATCAAATGCAAGGATTATTATTATTATTATTATGCTCTTGTAGGATTACTATTCATGCAGAATTTGAGTTGAAAGCCCAATTTGAAAGAATGTCACTAAAAATAATAAGATAAGGTTCGTCTTAGCAATAGAAAAAAAAACTTTTGATGGTACGAATATATTTGATCTGTGGTTGAATTTGTTTCGCTGCTTTAGGTGGCTGGTGCTGTTACAACAAAGAGAGTTGTGACACAAGATACAGATCAATTCGACGACTCATGAGTTCTTCTGAGTGGCCGCAAGCCCAGAAAGGTAATTAGATGTGGGGGCTTTGGTGAGATGGGTTATGGGGAGATGTTCTAAGAGAAGCCACTGATGTTGACATCTTGTAAAGAGTAATCCACACAGTTACCAAATATCGTCTCTGGGAATAGTTGTGAACTTCCTTGGCTCAACGCTGCTTATTCCTTGTGGCAGGTTCTGGAATTCTGTCATCACAGCCAGAGGAAAACCCACACTGGTGGAATGCCAACACTGTGTAAGCACTTCTCTTCATTTCTTCCAGAGTGTGGTCAAGTAAGATAAACTGGGTGGGTAGAAGCTAAAATGTAAATAGTGACCGGACATTCTTCCTCAATTTTGTAAGTAAAATAGCAGGTCTAAAAAAGGGCAGTTGTTTTGTTTCTCTTTGTTTTCCCTATCCTGATCTTCCCGTGACATCTATTTCTCAGGCCCGAGAGGCTGAGCAGACAATCTACCGGTCTCTTCCAATGGCCTGGTACTTAACAAATTATTCTTCTTCACCCCTCCCCCCCTCCGCCCACTTCTCCATGTCAGTGGGAAGAATTTCACTCCTTGTCTCTGATCGACACTCCTCACTCCCCCACAACTATTTGGGATTATTATTTCTAAACTATTTGCACCTGGAATTCACCATAATAGTAGGAACTGGGTTGGGGTGATGGTCAACCAATAGCACTTGATGAATCGATCTGAACTCGATTACCATTAATGAATTCCTTTGGTAATTGTGTTCTAAGTGACCGCAAGCCGTGCAGACTATCAGCCAATCCCACCTAGCAATGCTTTCTTTTCCTGTCAGTCATTTTGTGATCACAAAACTCTTGCCTGCTCCAAACCTACCTCAACTCATACACAAACCTTTTCGTTTCATTCATCCTTCTGGCACAAAGACAGACCCTCTTTCCCACAATGAGTTTTTGATTCCGGGATTGACTCGCACATCCCTTCCGACATGTTTCATTGCATTTGAAGGTCCGCAGTTTGTTACACGGTTAAAAAAAAATCAAACTGATTATTAATTGCTATGTTCCATGTCTTAGGTTTGTACCTTACTGCTCAAGTGACGTGTGGAGTGGGACTGCACCTCGGTCTCGCCAAGGTACATTGTAGAGAATTTTTGTTGTTTTTTGTTTATGGAGAAAAAATAATCTGCTTTTGGTACATTAATACAAGTTCCTTATTTTCCAGTTGAATATGCATTTATGGGGTCCTTGATTCTCAAGGAAGTGATTAAAGACTTGGTGCCAAAGGGTATTACTTTGGCCAAAGTGGTCATGCTTGCTGGAACCAGGTAAATAAGATTTTTACTTATAAAAATCGTCACTTTGCTTTCCGAGGAAAGATCAGATAAAAGATCAGTTATACTTATCGTGCAAAGCCGTCATTGTTTAACTCCTCCAGTCAGTTTCCATAAAAGACGCAATTAACTACAACAACACATTACATTTGTACAGCGCCTTTCATGTCAGGAGGACGTCCCAAGGCGCTGGACAGTCAGGGATCCGCATCTGAGCTGGTGGTTGGGATCAGGAAGGGTGGAGGGTGGGGAGGATAGGGTTAGGAGGGTGACCTAAGGCTCGGTCGAAGAGAAGGGTCTTGAGACGGGTCTTGAAGCAACCAAGGGAGCGGGCGAGGCGGAGGTACTGTGGGATGGAGTTCGAACGAATCGATTTTCCTTGTGTTAAACACATTCAAATGTCTTATTTAATACTTTGACTCTGATCGTGCCTCGTGGGTCCTCGTCGCAAAAGACTCTTCCAACCATTCTTCCATACTCGAGCCCAAATGATCTTTAAGTATATTGCAGTTCTGAAGCTTGTCGTGTGTTTGCAGTGCTGGTGGGACTGGAGTGCTGCTGAACATTGAGCGAGTGGCCAGTCTGCTGGAACAGCTGGGAGCTGATGTGCAAGTCCGGGGTTTGGTCGACTCAGGCTGGTTCCTCGAAAGCAAACCACAACGGCAGGCTGAATGTGTAGACGTGGCCTCTTGCACTCCTAACGATGTCATTAAAAAGGGGCTCAGGTAAAACCAGAGATTGCAAATGTTATATTATTAAAAGACTAGGAAAGGGAGAATAACATTTCAATGGATTATTTATTAAACTGCATCAGAATACGTCCTGGTCTGTACCCTATGTTATTTTTCTCTTTACGATGAGAATCCTCCTTTTGTTACAGAGAAACTCCCTTCTCTTTTTCGAGTAGTGCCCATGGGATCTCTAAAGTCCACCTGACCAGGCAGACAGGAACTCGGTTTAACGTCTCATCAGAAGGAGATTAATAAAGAGCTGATTGCACATTAAAAGCAATCACACGATTCCTCTGTTCTACACAATGCACCAAAGTTCAGCCCTATTCAAAGTGATGTAGAGTGGGCAGTAGAAACTGGGCATTAAGCACCATATAGCTCCGATGCCTGAGTTAAAATTCCCTCATCAGAGACTGATTAGTTTAGGCTGAGTGTTAGAATTAATCGATACCCGCTTTATTTCTATCTAGGAAAATATTGATTTAAGTCAGGATGAACATGATTCAGTAGACAACTTTATATTGCCTTACGGAAGCAAAGTAACATCTGTTTAGTCTAAGTATTTTCAATGAGCTGATGACGAATTTCTGTGCAGGTTGTGGAATGGCATTATTCCTGAACGATGCAGACAGCAGTTCAGACGTGGAGATGAATGGCAGTGTTTCTTCGGTCATAGGATGTACTCGTCTCTAACGTGTAAATAAAACCATTTTCTTATCAATTTTCTTGAACATTTTCCTCCAACTGCCTTCCTCCTGAAGGCATTTGACTCTTTTTCATTTGCTGGGTTACAGTGCGACTGAGTGACAAACAGACTATTTATCTGTGAGTCTTGACAGCAAGCTATTCAACGTGTGAGGGGATTGGGGAAGAGAGGAAGGGATCTTATCTGAGCCTGATCCTGTGCTCACTCAATGCTCAGCAAGTTCTTTGATAGTGAGCTGGAGTGGGAACCCTGTCTGATTTTCCCTTTCCTGGCCAATGCAACAACTGTTACTCTGACTGAGATCCCAAAACAAAATTACATACGTATAGCGCCTTTCACGCTGGACTCAAAGACTGGGAATCAAACCTAGGCACATCCTGGGCCCATACTAATCAGTCACTCACTGAGTCACTAAAAACTTTTCAAAGCTACATTTACAAACTAATGTGTGCAACAGATAATGCTTAATATTGTTACTTTCTTTCAGCCCCAGTGTTTGTGGTACAGTGGCTGTTTGACGAGGAACAGTTGAAAATTGAGAACATTCAACTGGGAAGCCATTCTCTCACAGAAAGTCAGTGGAACTACATTCAGAATTTGGGCCGAGATCTCAGAAATTCACTGCGTGATGTCTCGTAAGTGCTTAGATATAACATTGCAGCTGAGCACAGGTGGACAATTATGAATACGATAGTGCAGGAGGAATCATATGCCAAGCATAATTATTTTGCATTATTGGGCAACAAACTCAAAGGAATTGGATCAAACTGCAGTGTTGCATCAGCGACGAAATTCAACCAAGATAGAATTGAATAGGAATAATTTTCTCTGGTGGCTCGCTGTTCAAATAAATGCCTCCCAAATGCAAATATAAAGATAATGATTAATCTGTGAGACTCGAGGTTATTGGGGATTCATGGAGCATGCAACAACACGCAGGTAGCACTCACGACCTGCCATATAAATCATGACTGCAGAGTAAAATGCCGAGCAAGCGAAAAAGCATGATGAGGCAAAGACTTTTCGGGGAATGATTATGTTCCTCCTTTGCTCTGTAGCGAAGCATCACAAACGTTCCTTGAGGCAAATATCTCCAGAAACCGGGCAGGTTCTGAATGCAGGAGAGAAGGGTTAGGCATAAAAATCCTGAGATGAGTCACTCCAGTTTGTCCATTTCTTAATTTGAACCCTCAGCAGAGGAAGCTTGGAGATTATAGCGCTGGGAGATAATGTTGATAGCAGCAATGCATAGCGCAGGGCAGCATGCCTCGTTCATTTGAGATTGGTTGACAATGGTGGGAAAGAAGCAAGTCCAGAGAGAGAGAGAGAAAGAGAGGGAAAGAAAGAGAAACATGCTATCAGTTTAAGCTCGATTCAGTCCCAGGTCTCAGAGCTCAAACCACAGAATGCATTTTTTCTGTTAATCTACTGATGCGTTCCCCCACAATAACTGCATTCCAATCTCATGTAGTCATTGAAGCTAATTTGTATAGAAAGCAACGAGAACATATTTTGAATCTTTCGACAACCAACAACAGAAGACTAGTCAAACTGCTCGTGGCTAGAGTCCTGTTCTGAATAGAACAGTGTATTTCTCCAGCACGTGGGAGGCACAATATGTATTTTAAAAGATTGAACCATGCTCCCCACACTATATGGCCACTTTCCATCTTCCATGCCCTGCCTTCTGTGCCAGAAAATATACCTGTTTTAACATCCAAAATTCAATGGCTAGACATTTATGTATTCACATATAGGACTCTGAAGGCCTGAAATTTAATTTAGACTCAGCTGATTACTACTATTTTGCCTTAAAATGTAGGGCGCAGTTTTGACGAAGTTATTCAATCAAGCTTTAATTTGGAAGCAATATTTTTAAGAACTGTGAACAACCACATTAGGACTGAGTTTAAGAGTTTTCCAGTTTTACACAATCAAAAATTTTAAGATCAGATGGTCTTGCAGACTGAGACAAGGCAAAATTGCAGGCCTTGTAACTCCAAGAGTAATAGTCCTTACATTTGATATAGCACCTTATCACGTCATTGAGACGTCTCAAAGCATTTCACAGGATATATTGTAAAGTGGACGGACTGTGTATTTTGTGGGCGAATGCCAATGCCTTAGAAATGTTTATTATGGGGTCTAATGTGCAATAATTTCTAATGGGATTTATTTGTAACAAAACTGAGTGGAGATCTCTTTTGGTAACCTGGTGTACCTCACGTTGAGTTGCGGAAACCCGATCTGAAAGTAAATCTCATCAGAGTGGAGTTCTCTCAAGGAAGAGAGTGACCTACTTCTATTTTCCTTATTGGAAATCGCCACTTATTGGAACTCACTGTGTAATGTATAATTCACACATTATAATTCTAATGATTTCCATTCTAGAGCTGTGTTCGCCCCGGCATGTCTATCCCACACCCTGATCACTAAAAGGTAAGATATTAATATAATTAAGAGGTAAGGTGTTAAGATACTAAAACAAATTTAAAGTTATGATGTAAAGGATTCTAGAATAGTTATTCATCTGCTAAGAATTAACTCGTGTTTATAGGGTTGATATATTTCCCTGTTGGAAATTCTGTCAGAATATAGCTGCACTGTTTTAAAAGTCTTACCTTTAGTAACTCTGTTACTCTGCAGTTTAGTGTTGAACCATAGCTACGTTCAAACTGCGTTTTATAATAAATATACAATTTGTGTTATACATGTAGTATTATGTTACACTAACAAATGCCTCTTATTAAAATGTTCTAAGATCTTACAGAGACTAAATAAAGCTGTACACTATACAATTGTATTGAAATACTTACAGCATTGCCAGAGTTTCTTTGTTCTCAGTGTAACTAGTCTAGGTGGGATAAGGAATAATAAACTACTCCTTTAAATGCCCTCATCAGAAATAGCCAAAGCTCCACTTGTTTCTTTCCCAGTTCAATCTTACCTTGTGTACTAAGAATAATACAACTATCTTGGCGATTTAAGTAATTATAGCTATTTACTGAATGGCACGATTGGATGAAACTGCATCTTGAAAACTCGGAACACAACACCACTCGTCTAAAACAGATACATGTCAACAGCCATGTCAGGGCTCCTTCTATATCAGAACCACCAACCTTCAAAATGGTTTCACTTCAACTTTCTGAATAAAAAGGGTGGAAGCTTTGAACGTGTGCTGGATTCCTAGGATTACAATAATAAATATTGTGCATTGTGTCTTCAACATTTTCCTTGTAGCAACTGGCTGGACTTTCAAGTGCGAGGGATTTCCTTGAATAGAGCGTTACAGTGCTGGGATCGAAGTCTTCAAGAAAACAAGAACTCCAGACCTCCCGCTAGAAACTGCTCCTTCCATTTAATTGATCAGTGCCGCCTGCCACATTGTAACCCCACCTGCCCAGCGCTCCGTGATCCAGTCACAGGTCAGGAAGTGAACATGATTCAGCTTCTGATGAATATGGGCTTCGATGTTCAGAGAATAGCGCAGCAGCTTGGAATGGAGCCCAATCATTTGCTGGGGATGCTTAGTAATGGAGGCTAGAGTCTTAAAACCAATTCCATCTCCTGTGTTTTCTTCTGTGCCATGACGTTTGCAGTGAAAACTATAGATTTCAATTGTCACATTGCTTGGTTAACAAACTGAGATCATTGGATATACTTGCCCTGCTATCAGAGCTAATTCTGGTTTTAGCATTACTGTTTGTTTCCCACTCAGCATTGCTAGAAGCATGATGCCTTTTCTTTACCCCCAACCTTGGGGCCGGTGAGGATAAGGCTTTACGCTTAACGCTTCCACCAAACATCATCCTTGGATCTGCATTTGCACGGTTCGTTAGACACAATCAACAAATTAAACTGTACGCTCATTGGAATTCATGTTTTAATGGACTGAAGAAGTCTGATGCGAGTTAAAGAGTTAACAGCTGATCCCGTCTTATGTTTTCCTTCCATTTGTTTTCTTGTTGTTGCTCAGATTAACTTGCATTCAACCACAGTGAGAATTCTACTGGTTTTATGAGCTGCTAGATGGGTACAATAAAACCGCTTTGCATCTCTGCAGAGCAGTTTGCGTAGTAATGTACCATTTGCTGCTTTGAGATGGGAGAGCCAAGATGCTCACAGAAATACCTGTACCCTGGCCAAAGCATGTTATCAGGGAATATAGAATTTAATTAACATCTGAAATGGTAAGCCTTATATTAAACACAGACTGATTTTTTCTCCCTGAATTGACTCTCTAATAAGAAATCATGAAAATGTAATTGTAATACTAGTGTCTAAATATCATTCAATCAATACCCTACTCTTACCCCATGTCTTGAAGTAATATTCAAGTAACCGGATACAGTATATTCTGTGAAGCGCTTTGAGACGTCTTGAAGACATGATAAGGCGCTATATCAAATGCAAGGATTATTGATGTTATTCCTGGCATCTTATTGTTTTCTTAATGGACGATTTGATTCTGAAGTTAAAAGCCAAAATGAAAGCTAATTGTACAGGCTACTGGGAGCACCATTCTGCATTAGTGCACGTAACGTCTCATTGCAGTAAGTGATTAGAAATATTTTGTTTAAAATAATTTGAAGGCTGATCATTCTGAACGGTGAAGATATTGCCTTAAAAACTGATTATGAAACAAAATATGTGCTAATTAATATACTCATAATAAAAACCTATACTTCGCATTAACATGTATGGTATATTGTAATGTACACTGTTATCAAACAATGTGTTGTGTTGTTTCGAGTGTTTCAATGTGCAACGGTATATTTCTGGTTTCATTTGACTGTAATCAGATGGAGGCATTTATAAAGAGATGTACTCAGAACCTCCTTGTTAACAACCTTGTTTGTTACTTGTTATATGATTTCAAATAAAACTTATTAGTGATTTATTAGTGCTGAATTACCTCAATTTGAGATGAAAATGGATTTTTCTCTTCCTCAGGAAAGCACATCTTAAGATTCCATTACTATCTTAGCAATGTTCTTGTTATTTGAAATTGAGAGTTACAGTTAATTAATCTGTCAAATTAATGCCACAATATTTCTGCAGCGGTTTTACATGATAGAAAAAGAAGTGCGTGGTATCACACAGAAACACACATTTATAGGACATGATTTGTGTGATGTTATGCCTTAAAACAAGGCAGTGTCAAACTCTGTGCAAAACTACTATATGTGATTATAATTAGTCATTCACTACGTGGCTGTTTGTGGGACACCGCTGTGTAGAAATTAGCTGCCATGTTCGCCTACAAATAGAGCTAATACGCTTTACAGTAAAATCCTGTGAAGCGCATTGACACCGCCCGATGACATGATGAGGTGTTATATCAAATGCAAGTATTATTATAAGTGATAAAAGTGCTGCAGTGTGTTTCAGCCCCAATGTCTGGTTCCAAAGAACAGTAAATCTAGCTCTGTACCAAGCCCGATGTCAACCACATCACTAAGGTTCACTCCAAGCTATAGCCTGACGCTTCTCACAGGAAGAAAAAGAGCCATGGGGCTTCATCTCTGAGTGCAACACTGAGACCCTGAGGGAGTAGGCAGCCACCAAACCAACTCAACTACAACTGGTGGGTAGTTTAGTGAAATCAGCGCCCCAAATAAAGGAGAAGAAATTAGTTTGCTCTCAGCTAATTTTGAAAAGAATGGGTTCCTCTTTTCTGCCCGAAGGGTGTCACAAAGAAAGACACGTGCTGTCAATCAATCTTCGCCGCAGCAGCCATGTCAAAATGCTTTCCTTTCTTTCCGCCATTATCTTTTCGCCCAGAGGTGTTCCTAAACCCAATGCGGCATTTGCCAATCAAATCACCTTGGAGCAACGATCAGTTTTAGCGGGTGTTTTGTGGTGATCCCATGATGAGGATATAGAGGTGGAATATCACTGCACTAACTGCACATCCTTGTTTTCACCCAATATTCTGCTTTCTTTAAACCAGAGTAAAAACTCGAACTGAAAATTCCAAATGCCATCAATTGACCTTGCAAATCCCCCAACTATAGGGCAGCTAATCCCAGCTATGGGGGTGAACGAAAATTTCTTATTTTATTTCCTCTCTGGCTCTCTGAAATGCCCTCTTAGTTTTGACATGGCTCCGCAGCTGGATTAGTGCAGTCAGTTACCGTGCTCCAGATGTTCTCTTAAAAACCCGAATCGGGTCTTATTTGAAGGAAGCATCGGCTGCTCCAATGTCATTCTGAGCTTTCCTGGAATTCCTGGCATGAAGCTGAAATCATTAGCGAGAGATCCTTTAAACAAGCTTTGCATGGGAGCTTAAGAATTTCAGCATATTTGTATAACGCAGTGAGAATCCAGGCAGATTTTTATCCCTTGATAATACCAGGGCTGCGAATGTTGTCTTGAAAGTCCAGAGGGAGTTCTGCACTGGAACATGTTTACCTCGTTCTTACCCTGAGTTTCAATCTAAGATTTTTTTTTCCCATGACCTAAATTGAGCTCATCCCAGGGAAATGGCAGTGGGAGGGATCCGGGTGTTCCAGTGCTCAGCTCTGCCCAATAGCACTCGTGGAGACTCCTTTTTCAAACGAAAACATTATTTGAAACTCGTTTCCCGAGCACACAAGTTACAACAATCGTCATTTTAATCGCACGTCTTCATTTTAAATTCAAGGGCCTTTTATTGTGTTCGGTCGATGTATTTCGGTTCTAACTTTAAAAAGAGATTCTAATGGCCACCCTCTCATTTTAAACGGGGCTTTTTAAAAGACCAGAATGATTTTGCGATGGATCTTTCAGGCAGGCAGGAACGGTTACTTTGCAGGTTCTGACTGCGTGGGCCCTTGCTGAGTCTCATAATTAAAGGCAGCACATAATTGTTCTTGGGATGTGGAAACAGTCCCTTGGGCAGAAAACCCCACCCAGTTTCATAAAAGGTTTTAAATGCAGTTTGACAAAGAACTACGCTTCCGACTATTTCAACTTCAGCTATAATTAGCCATAATTCCATGCTGGAAACAGATGAATTTTAAGGTGCTGATAAAAAGTGCTAAACCACTCTTCCCAAAAGCGTTTGTGAATGTATGTGTGTGTGTGCGTGTGTGTGCGTGTGTGTGTGTGTGTGCATGTGTGACAAAATGCAGAACTAAATTTCAGATGGAATGAAAAACGAGAATCAAATTAACAGAAGACCTGGGCCTTCTGTTAAGTTAATAGATCTCTCGGAAGAAGATAGATCCTTAGAGTATTTAGTGCATTCTCTGAGTACGTCAACAACTCTTATTTTATTTTCCAGTCTGGCTTAACATCGGTATCGGGGTCTTCAAAGACTTTGAAGTTCGATGTTTTGAGTGCAACATTTAATGCGGTTTATTTTTACCAGCTGCTATTTTCGTTCACTGATAAAACGCTGGTTTCCCCTCAGCTTGCAGACGCAAGCAATGTTGCACACTATCGAATCGTGTCAGAATGCTTCCTGGACGTTTGATATCTCGTTCGATTTTCTCATAACGAAGCTAATAATTCTCGCGTTTGATAAAGGGGGTCAAACCTCCTCAGTGCTGCACAAGTAATTGCTGTCAAGTGTAGCGATTGTATTTATAGGCAAACGTTGCGCTTAAACAAATGCAGTTTCTTTATCACAAACACTTCAGGGCGGTGGTGGAGGAACGCTGCATTGTCTAGAAATTGGACGTTAAAGACCCCATGACACTATTCGAAAAGAAAAGGGAGTTTCTCCCGCTGTCCTCGCTAATGATCTCCCAGGTAAAATCGCTTCAGGGTGGGTTTTTTTGTGGGACATTGCTGTGTGCAAATGGGCTGACGTGTTTCACCTACAAAAAACACACAGTCACTACGCTACACAGTAAAATCCTGTGAATCTATAGAGACGTCTCGGCGCTATGCTAAAGCGCTATTATCGAACGCAAAGGATGATGATGATGATGGTGATTATTATTACTCTGGCAAACAAGTCTCTCCGGCTGAATGTAAACCTGGAACCAATTACAGGATCTGAGTTAATCAGATCCAGGAACACAAAGGAAAGGAGAGGAACTGGCTGGATGTGGCAAGATTTTAGTTTCAGCACCAAACCAGCCTTGAGCTATTCGGGGAGGTGGTGGTGGAGGTGGAAAGGCACAGAAGTATAACTGCAGCAGCCCAGAAAGTGACAGAGAAAACAGCTAAGATATTGTAAAACAAAAGTTTTATGTGTGTGTTGCGTGTGGGGGGGAGGGGGGGTTGTGTGTGTGTGAGAGTTCAGTGATTTTATTCTCTTTCTCTCTTTCTCTCTGGGAGTCCAGGATGCGTTTTTGGTGATGATGTCTCTTAAGATGAGGAATAAAGCTAAGCATCGACAAAGCACCAACTTGTCCCTGTGTTTGCAAGGGTTAAGTTCTTTCTGTTAGGAGCTACGCCTACAGCAAACTCCCAAGTCATTTTTTTTTTGGGGGTGGAAATCTTTCTGCTGTGTTGGAGGTTGGCATTTAATTCAGTTTCCTCTGCGCTGCTGATGGCTAAAATGTGACGCAAATCTGTTTCCCTCGGAAGAGGAAGTTTTTAACCACTAAATAACGGTCGAGAGGGATGATGTGTTGAAGTTGGAGGGATAGAGCGAGAGGAAAGAGAGGGGGGAGAAGGAGAAAGGGAGAAGGAGAGGGAGAGAGAGAAGGAGAGGGAGAAAGAGAGAGGGAGGAAGAGAGAAGGAGAGGGAGAGGGAGGGAGAAGGAGAGGGAGAAAGAGAGAAGGCGAGGGAGGGAGAAGGAGAGGGAGAAAGAGAGAGAGAGGAGAAGTGAGAAGGAGAGGGAGAAAGAGAGAGAGGGAGAAGGAGAGGCAGAAAGAGAAGGAGGGGGAGAAAGAGAGAAGGAGAGGGAGAAAGAGAGAGAAGGAGAGGGAGAAAGCGAAGGAGGGGGAGAAAGAGAGGGAGAGAGAAGGAGAAGCGAGAGTGGGAGAAAGAGAAAGTGAGAAGGAGAGGGAGAAAGTGAGAAGGAGAGAGAGAGAGAGAGAGAGAGAAGGAAAAAATAAGAACTTAAGTGAAGTTGATTGCAAGCTTGGGACGGTGGAAAGGAAAGAAGGGGTGGTTTGCATTTTGCAGGAAGAAATTAATTGGGAGGTGGGGGTGGGTGTGGGGGGGGGGGGAGCTTTGATTTGATTTGATTTGATTTTCATTGCCGCACACGTGGATGGATGTCGGCTTCTTTTCCTTTTTGCCAAACAGCGATGGGTTGATTTCGTCGCGACAGCAACCAACAAAAGAAAAGGACGAGAGACAACGATGTCGGTTTATCCCCCGAGCGTGAGGGTGTGCTGGCTGCTGGCCACTTGCTGTGGCACAGCTCTGCTGTGTTTGCATCGAGCCCTGAAGAGCCAGGCTGGTCAAGTGGAAGGAACCCTGGACATTGACCTGGACGGGCAGGGGCAGGGTCAGGGTCAGAGTCACAGCCACAGCCAAGCCAGTGCCTTGCCTCTCTTCAGCCTGTCGGCCGCTTTCTTGGTCTGTTACTCTTTCATCAAGTGCCGCACCTCCATCACCACCTCCTCCTCCTCCTCCATCACCGCCAGACTCCAGGCGAGTCCGACGGGGAAGCCACGAGCCCAGGTACCGGCTGGCGACTGCCCGTGCCCTGACCTCGGCCCGGACGGGAGGAGGAGCGCCTTGGAGACTTACTACGACCAGCAGATGAAAGTGTCTCCTCACGTCCTGGGGCACAGCAAGGCTCACGTCACCCAGATCGTCGGCCAGCTGGTCAGGGTGGGCAAACGCGAAGCCCAGGAGGACTCGACTCTGACCTTCCGCGGGACTTCGTGCAGATCGGCAGCGCTTACGAGCAGCACAAAATCCACAGCCCCCACAACGGCTTCGACCTGCTCGTCCCCATCAGAGTGCCCCAGGTCTGGTGCCCTCAACCCGCGTTTGAGTTGGAGTCCAACGTGGGGGACACACAAGAGCTCCCCCAGCACTTGTGTGGAGCCGCTGTTTGTCAGCTCAAGCCCTTTCTTCTTCCTTCTTCTCCTCCTCCTTCTTCTTCTTCTCCTCCTTCCCCCTCTTCTCCCCCCGGCGGCTTCAAGAAGCCTGAGGGTTGGGGCAAGCGTTGCAAAAGTTTCAGCCACACTTTCTGTGCCCCTCGGCCTGACAAGGCGCTCTGCCTGGCCCTCTCCTCCTCCCTGGTGCTCAAGTGGTTCCACGCCAAGATGCAAAGGTGCCTGAGCGTCATCAGGTAAATCGGAAATAATTCCTAATAATAATAATAACGATGATAATAACCTCGCGTCTGGTACAGCGCCTTAGCACGTCGTCGAGATGTCTTGAACTGCTTCGCAGGATCACTTCGTGAAGTGGATTGACTGTGTATTTCGTGGGCGAAACGCGGCAGCCAATTGCCCCCAGCAGTGTCCCCACACAAACACTTGCGGATTGCGTGACCGGATTTGTTTGTTTCGTTTTTTCGGAGGTATCATTACCCCCCGGAAAAGCGAACCGCCAATCGACTAACAACCGGGTTCCTACTTACCCGCTGGGTAAACAGAGGCGAGAGGGTGCCAACCGCTGCCTCACGGGACCCCACTATAATGCTTTGAGTTTGACACAGCGCCTGATCACGTGGTCGAGACGTCTCAAAGTTCTTCACAGGATACAGTGTAAAGTGGATTGACTGTATATGTTGTGTGTTTCGCAGGTATCGCTGTCAGGAACGATGCTCCATGACACTGTCTGTGGAGGACGACAGCCTCACCCTCAAACTCCTGCCCAAGTCCGACTACGTTTGCTGTCACATCGCCATGTCCGTCCGGCTGATCCCGGCTGTGCACGTGGGCGATTCGGTCTTCCTGGTGGCTCAGCCCTGGACCAGGACCCGGAGCCCAGAGCCACCCGGGTCCACTCCCGCCCATGCAAAGCCAGAAGCTCTCTGGCGCGTCTATTTGCCCAAACACGAGCAGAAGCTCCTGAACTGGCTCAAAGAGCAAACTCCCGCCAACTCGTGCCACCTGAAGTGCCTCCAGGTCCTGAAAGCACTGCGGGACGTGGGCTGCAAGGACCTGGGGAAGAAAGTCTCCGCCAAGTGGAGCACGGTGCTCTCCTCTCACAACCTGAAAACGGCTATGTTCTATTTGGTGCTGAAGGGCCCGTTGGAGGCTTGGGACGAGAGGTTCCTGATGGAAAGGTTAGAGGACATGGTCAGGTTCTGGAGGGAACGTTTGAGGCAGCAGCGACTGATGCACTTTTTCCTGGGGAATAAAAAGGTGCCGGATTTTTTGACAGTGCCCAGGCAGATCAAGGAAGCCTTGCCAGTCAACTTGTTGGCTGGATTCGATGCTGCTCTGCTGGATCTGGTTTCGGTTCAACTTTTGGAGACGTGGAACTGTTCACATTTAAAGATGAAGTTAACTCATCATAAACACTTGCCAAGGAATCACTAATAACAACGACGAAAAAAAGCCTCAATCGGATCGTTGTGCTCATGCTGATATAACACATTTTGTCTCTTCTGCTGCTCCTAATTTACTGCTTGTCAGTTTCGATGGTACAACTGGATTATAATCGGCCCATTAACCACTTCTGGGCCAGTCCAGACAATTCTTGAAAGCGTATCCTACTGTACTGCTCTCCTCGGTTCAGAAAAAGGTAATAATAATATTCTAGAGGAAGATATGTACTTGATTTGTTTTAAAATTAAAATCTGTGTGTTTTTTCTCCCTACCCAAAGCGCTTCAATCCGTATATTTTAATGAATTAACCGACTTTCAACCCAGACGCAAAATTAAAACACTTTGAGGCGCAAAGGTGACATGGCTGCAGTGAATATCTTTAGTCCTTGTTTGCCTATGTTACATGGCGGGAGGGGAGTTGGGTTTTAAGATTGACCTCATCTTTGGTGGCTATTTAGTTGGCTGTAGATCAATCCTAGACAGACAGAGTTCATCACAGATCTGACAGACGAGAGATGACCCAGTTGATGGTGTGGTCTCAGCAAACTGATGCTCCTTCCTCTGTTTACGTTTCTCTTCGTCCTTGACAATCCTGGCGGGGTCAAAATCATTAACTCTTCACCGACATATAGATGACCACAGTTTGTGGTCTGTGGAGATTTCCTCCCATGTATTGCTGTCAATCCCACATCTCGTCCGATTGGATTTGAAAGAATCTTTATATTTCTTTTTCTGAATGTAGTACTTGTACATTTTTTTTGTTGGGGGGAGAAGGGGTGGTGGGGAGGGGGAACACAATCGGTAATTCACCGCATTAGTTCTAAAATCTTTGATAACAAAGCGATTGCATTGAAAAAAACATGTATTTCAGCCAGTTTTACTTTAAAGTTTCCATTTCTGTGACGTCTCTGTTTTTCTCCTCTCCAAGATATAGTCAAAAAGGTAATGAACGTAAATCAAAAGGTGGATCAGCGATGCAAACTGACCTGTTCCACATAATAATATAATAATAATAATCCTTACATTTGATATAGCGCTTTTCACGTCGGAGGACGTCCCAAAGCGCTTCACAGAACACATGTGGTACGGGTTCCACAGTCAGTGAGCCGGTCAAACTGACTGCTTAAACACGTTGGTACACAGATGTAAGAGTTTGTAATGGTTCCTTGATGCACAACTTCCTGTGTGGGAGATATTTACTTTAACTTATACTCATGTACATGATTATACATAGTCATTTGCATCTTAATTGACTCATACAAAATGCTACTCTACCCCCCACCCCCACACAGAAAACCACACAAAAACCAAGAAACAGAAATGAAAGGCTGTTGTGTTACTTTCTGACACTTTTTGGCACCGTTCCATTTATCACTGGTTTGTATATCAATTCGAGGATCATGGATAACTTTTGTGCTTTAAATATTTCCACCCCAGAACTGTTGCTGTGAGGAATTCACAAAGGAAATCGCTATTTAAAAGATATGAATTTCTGATAAGTGTATACGATGCTGGAGGACTAATAGCCCATGACAGAGAGGAAGAGTATTTCAATTTAGTTGGCTGTTGTTTTTGAAACAAATGTTATATCAGAAATACCACTTTTCCCTTTTTATTACTGTATTTCCTCTCAGATCTGAAGATCATAAGGGTAATAAAGCATGTTTGAGAAGATTTAACCAGTACCAACTTGTCCAGTTAAAGTTCCTTCCGTACCCACCCATTCTGAAGTAATGACTGTTTACTTTGTGACTGGATGAGGTTATAATGTCAAAGTAGAAAAACACTGTATGTTCGCTATTTTTNCTTTGAGTAATCACTTCCTTTTAGGTTACCAAAATGCACAGAAGGAACTGAGACCCCAGACAATGACACATCATTTCAGACTTTGTCAAATGCGTCAGCTTCCGTCAAACTAAATAATATAATTACTTAGTTTATAATTAAAAAAATGGACTTTTGCACATTTTGCAAAAGAGCGTGCTGTATATAAAAAAAACCTTGCTAAAAAGGCTTTGAGAAAGGATAGGTTGCTGCTATTAAAAAGAAACAAATGCCTTTGCTTAATGCTGGATGTCTAATTATCCAAAGGGAAACACAAAGTAATTTTGTGGGGCCCACAAAATTATAGCTGGTAATTAAATGTATGGAAAGGTCTGATTCATGGAGGGTCTCATGTCTGACCTGTGAAGGGCGTTTTCAACATGTAAAACGGTATCAATCTTCCATTGACGTATGTGTCGAATGTATTTGGCCAGGATGCCGATGAAGGGGATGGAGGCGACCAGAGATAGAGGTAACTGTGCGGTAAATACACTCTTAGTTTAACTCAGTGTGCGGGTGCATGTTAGTTCCCTGTAATGTTCAATTAAATCGCAGTCTGCAATTGCTGCTGTGTGAGTCATGTGGTAAAGGAACTCTGCAGAATGTGTCAAGCCCCATTACAGAATATTACATCAGTTTTAGTCACGTGAGACAGCCTTCGGGCATCTGTATTCTGGGAAATTACTGCTCAACGGGACGATTGAATTCCATGAAACAGTGAAGTTCTTTTATTCCTTTTTACGGACACACGAAGGAATGCACAGCGACTGATCAGATTGACGTTGTCGTGTTGTTGACACCTTCCTTTACAGGGTTGGTCGAAAACTGCCCACCTCCAAAGCAATTCCGATTCTTTCATTCGACGTCGCGCCCGTTAGGGGAAGGAGGACTCTTCAACGTGCTTCGCTGGGTTTACTGTAAAGTGTAGTGACTGCGCTCGTTGCTTTCAAAAACTTTGCGGACAAGCACCTTCTAGTAATGATTATCCTCATTTGCAAGCTACTGCTAGGACATGTTTTACTGTGCATCACTTCACAGTGTAAATCATTTTACCACCCAGTGGTACATTGAGGAACAATGTGGTCCATTGGTGTCAGTGATACTGATTACTCATATCGCTGCTGTGTTCTTCACATCCGTAGCACTTGGAACCTGGACAATTACAAATGCCGTAGAAATTAATTTAACGGCAAATTTGAAGCCAAATGAATCAACGCACGAATATCCCATGTGCCCTGATGTCTTGCAATCATCGCAGAAGTAAATTGAAAAGAAAGTAATCCTAACCATTATTTCCGTGAACACCACAAGATGAATTTCCCATACGTCACATCAGTAGAATAGGAACGCTTGACGAAAGGTCTTTTCAAAGCTGATTTGGTTAACAACAACAACAACAAATTGCATTTATAAAGCTCCTTTCACATCGGGAAGATGTGCCAAGGTGGTGGCGTGTGGGTTTTCACACTTAGAACAATGACCCCACATCGTGTTGTTGTTTCTCTCAGCTGTAATCATGAACGTATGGAGAAGGGGAAAGTGGGCAATGATTCACAACCTCCACTCACAACCTCTGCTCATTAATATTTGATGAGATCTTTGCATGCGCTCAGTCAAAACACTGTTATCTCTTTCGAAGCTATTGATCCGGGCAAAACTGTGCTTTGATCAGCCATCAGGAACTCGCCAGTGATTACTCACAATTGTCAGGCTGTTCTTCGGAGCTCCACTAAACAGCTTGTGGGAACATCAAGAATCGCGAGGGATGATTTTATTTATAAATTCATAATGGCAAATGATTGGGGTTCAAATCCCACGCAGGAACTTTGAGCTCACTGTCAGAGGTGTCAACCTTGAGACGAGACATTAAAACCAAGTATCTGGTCTGCCTGATCAGGTGGAGATTAAAGATCCCACAAGACTATTCTAAAAAGAGAAGCAAATTTCTCCAGGAGTCCAGACCACCAATCTCCCAGATAAATTGGTGGTATTCACTTGTTTGTGGGACCTTGCTGTGCTCAACTTAGCTGTGGTAATTGCCCACCGTGCACAATCATTACATTTAAGAGCAAATACCCGTGGAGCACTTTGAGATGTTTTATAATTAGAGGCGCAAGTTCGATTGCAACTACTATTAATTTTTAGTATTATTAATAATAAACAGTGGAACAGAATGGCGAGTTCTGTGGTTCTAACTGATAGTTGAAGGATGAATCGTGTAGCTAAAGAGGGCAATAGTGCGCTTTAACATTTTTTTCACCTTTGCCAATGAACATTCTTTGTCGTGTTTTATGTTTTCTCTTAAAATATGCCATTCTTACATTTCCAGGGAGCTGTTTCTTTCATGAAGGATCGTCATCCACTTATTGTGCCCAGATCAACAACAACAACAACAGGATTTCATTTATAGAGCACTTTTCACGTCGGGAGGACGTCCCAAGGCGCTGTACAGTTGGGTCGGGACCCGAGCATTGGGGGGAAATGGTCAGGGTGAGGGGAGGGAAGGGAGGGAGCGAGGAGGGGGTAGGGAGTCGAGAGGAGAGCTGAAGACACGGTCAAAGAGAAAGGTCTTGAGACCGGCCTTGAAGGAGGAAAGGGAGGAAGCGGCGAAGGCACTGGGGGATGGAGTTCCAGAGCAAAAGCTTCTTTTACCTGAAAACACAAAGCAAATTCTTTTCACATTACAGTCCCAACTCAAATCAATATTTAATTCACTCTCCTCTACCAGACACCATTGACATTAAATATACCACCTGTTAGTTCTCTCTCAATGTATATTTGACATCAGGAGTATTATATGTAATTCTTTTGCAACAAAAACAATGCTCCTACACAGAAGGTACTGTAAACCTTCCAATATGTGATGGCTGAATGAAACACCATGTGGGATCTATTTTCCATTAGCAGGTAAGAAAATAGACTTTGATAAATGCACTGCTGCATATAAAGTCCTTTTTCGTTCCACGGCAGCAGCTGTTGTTTAACACCGCAGGAGGTGTTATAATAGTAAAAATAAGGCAGACACATTGACCTCTGTCTCAACATTCAGGTGGTGTCACCTTTCATCTACATATATTAATATGATACCTCAATTGAGATGGTTTAATATTATGTAAAATCTCAGTGGATGAAATGTACCATTGTGTGGGTAGACAGACCAACCTATTAGATCTTACAAACTAATTTGTTAATAAGATTTACTTGCTTCAGGGAAGAAATATTGCTGAATTTCAGTTGCTAGCTTCCCATCAGAAAGAGGCATTGGATTGAAAGTGAGAATGCTTTTACTTTGCTTTTTCCTTTTTGTGCCTGGATTTATTTTTCCCCTTTTATTTCCCTCTCGGAGCCCTCTCAGAAACATGCAATCAGCTGGAGAGGAAAGGTGTTTTAGGTCTGTAGCAAAGTGGGTATGGGTATCACTTTGGCAGATGTGCAATGTGTTTTGCAACAAGACAACGTTTGCCTTGGTGTCGTCATTTCTCTCTCTCTCTCTCTCCCCCTCGAGGTTTGTGAATGCTCTTCTGCCTCATTGAGTGCTGCAACCACAGGACTGATGGAAGACTCAAGTAACGGCTGAAGGGATGTGGGTTCTTGATTTTGTTCTTCACCCACAACATTCACAGTCAATTCACTTTACAGTATATTCTGTTAATCGCTTTGAAGCGTCTCGACGACGTGATAAAGCACTATATCAAATGCAAGGATTGTTTTTATTTATATTTATTATAATTATAAGGTTATCCCATTGGGACATAAATCATATTCCATAGACTTTCCTATGTAACAAGGTTTTGAGAACAATGTTGAATGTAGCTGTACTTTCTCTGTATCGTGTCAATGAGTTAGGGAGTCTTACCCTACAGTGTAAAATTATAAATCATCGGTTTTCTGAATCAAGAGTTAGCAGCCTGGAAAGAGCATTTAAAAACAGAATTGATACCAACAACAACAACAAGATTGCATTTATAAAGCGCCTTTCACGTCGGGAGGACGTCCCAAGGCGCTGGACAGTTGGGTCGGGACCCGAGCAAGGGGGAATGGTCAGGGTGAGGGGAGGGAAAGGAGGGAGCGAGGAGGGGGTAGAGAGTCGAGAGTGGAGCTGAAGACACGGTTGAAGAGAAAGTTCTTGAGACCGGCCTTGAAGGAGGAAAGGGAGGAAGCGGCGAAGGCACTGGGGGATGGAGTTCCAGAGCCTCGGGGCTGAGAGGCTGAATGCCCGGCCACTGATGGTAGGGCGGGGGATTTGGAGCAGACCGGAGCCAGAGGAACGGAGGGTATGAGCAGGTAAATGCCAAAGGAAAAGTAGAGTTCTTTCCCTTGATAGCCAAAGTAGACGTTCTTCTCTTGATAACCAAATGAAGGTGAAAATTACAGGACCCATATTTTTTCCAGGATGTTGAGATCATGCTCCGAGCAACGCCACTTTTGCCTCCAATATCTAAAGTATCTTCAAAGTGATAACCACTAGAGACTTGGAAAGGGTTTGGGGGTATTACCGCAATAATTTTGCTTGATTTCCATGTGTCAGAGCTGATCCATCCAGTCAATAGACAGAAAATGCTGTAACTTGAAGCTCTGAGATGCCAGCTTGCAGGCTTAATGCTTTCACTGCTGCTTGGTGTCAGGAAGGTGAGATTGTTTGTGCTTTTATTTGCTTTGTTAATCGATGGATGTAAAGAAACTGGATTTGCTTATCCCACTGAATGGAACCTATTCCACCCTCAGTCATTTGAGGGCAATAAGCAGTCCCAGGGCAACAAGTGGCTTAGAGCAAAAGTAGACCAACCCCATATACACACACATGCATATACACACATGCGCACACACGCATACACATACACGCACATACATATACACACATGCACACACACATATACACACACATACACATACACACATGCACACACACATCTTAACGTGTAGCCAACAGCACTTGGCACAACCCAATTCAATCATAGATCAAAAGCGTAGGTGAGAGAGTTTTTTTTTACACACACACACACACACATACACACGCTTGCAGCCGCGAACGAAAATAAAAGCTTCAATGATGTGTTTGCCAGAGCCAGAGGTTTGGATGGGATTCACTGGGTGGGGGGGGGGGTGGGTGGTGGGGAGTTGGAAGGAACTGGTGGTGCAGTACCTGGTCTCGAACGATAGGGGTCGCTGTACTACAACACCCCGCTTGGTGGTGCTGTACACTGGTCTGTGTCTGGAGGGTTTATCTGGGGAGCCGGAGCATCATCCACCCTCCGCAATCCATCTTGTCCCAATCAGTCTTTCTCTGTTGAAGTGTGCATTTTTTGTTTGGGGGGAAATAATAATTTTAAGAAAATCCCTCCCTCCTTGTGTTCGCAATGTGGGAGGTTATTAATCCCTCCAAAACCAAAAACAACAATAAAACTGGTCATTTTCAATCCACGACTGTTTGTGGGACATTGCTGTGCACAATTGGCTGCCGCGTTCGCCCACAAATGTACAGTCAGTTCACTTTACAGTGTGTTCTGTGAAGCGCTTTGGGACGTCCTCCCGACGTGAAAAGCGCTATATCAAATGCAAGGATTATTATTATTATTATTATTATTATTAATGAATGTGCCCGAATTTTTAATCCACCAAACAAATAAAACTATTTGATTTATTGTCCTTTATGACTCCATAAAGTCATCTCAGCACCTCATTCACTACCACATTCAGGATGTTAATTTCAGATTATGTACTTTACAGCTGGAAAAGACTCAGGTGAAAAGAAAAGAAGAACTCTTGAAGTTTGAAATGCATTTATTATTTTTTTAAATGTACTTATTTATTTTTTTTCTTTATTTTCCTTTGCATTTTTGCTATTGTCAGGGTCGAGTTACTGCTATCAACCGGTTAAAATGCTTTATAATGCTGCTAAATCGAGGGCATCTGAAGACGGTCAGACACCACAATCTTGATTGAAAAGAAAAATGCGGTTGCTCTTCTTTTAATGTTTCATTATCTTATTGCCTAAATTGAAATGCAAACCAGAAGTTAAGCCATGGCATTTATCTTAACTCTTATTCTTACATATATATACATATATACAACAACAACAACAAGATTCCATTTATAAAGCGCCTTTCACGTCAGGAGGACGTCCCAAGGCGCTGCACAGTTGGGTCATGACCCGAGCATTGGGGGGAAATGGTCAGGGTGAGGGGAGGGGAGGGAGGGAGCGAGGAGGGGGAAATGGTCAGGGTGAGGGGAGGGAAGGGAGGGAGCGAGGAGGGGGAAGAGAGTCGAGAGGGGAGCTGAAGGCTCGGTCAAAGAGAATATAGGAGTAGTTTGAAAAAAAAACCCTGTGATGTGGGGGATACTGTTAATCAGATCATCCCCCAAATTTGCTGGGAATTTTGTTGTTGTTGTTGTTGGTGTTAACTATTTATTGTGTGACTCCAGATGGAAACTGAGTGGAAGCAATGATCAAATGCAATGCTGGAGCTGGACCCGCAGGTTTGCAATGTGTTAAATGGAATCGCAGAATGAAGCCATTTAAACTGAACCATTTCAGGAGCCGATTCGCAGCGACTGCGATTCCGTTACATTTAGGCATTAATAAATAAAACGTACGGATTTTCTTTTGTTTTAAGCAAATGCTAATCTTTAATGATATCTTGATACGATATGGTATAATCCTGGACTTTATTATTATTATTATTATTGTTATTATTTATTTCCAAGCATTCAGAATAATATTGTATGCATGTTTTAATTAGGTTTTTTTTAATATGTGGGGCATCCTTTATCAAAAAGGATTTATCATAAACTTCCCTTTGGAGTTTTGACTGGTTTTACACCTCACTTTGCTCTAAGAATGGTGTGAACTTAAATCCATACACAAAATCCAATTTTCTGTACGAAATACACAGTCAATCCACTTCACAGTACAGCATATCACGTGAAGCGCTTTGAGACGTCTCAACGACGTGACATAGTGCATTATATCGAATGCAATTGTTATTATTAGTATCATTACTACTGCACTTTCATTTAATGCAGTTTAAATATTCATCGCTACAATTTTCCAGGACTGCATTTTTTTTTCCTGATGACTTTTCTGCTTCTGGATGTTTCCTGTTATGAAAGGAGCAGTTGTCAGAATTCAGCTACAAGTGAGTGTCATTTTTTTTCACACACTGTTCTAAAGAAAATTCGCCTGATTCAGCTTGGATGCTGTCTCCTCCAAGACCTTGACAACTCAGAATCAGTCAGAAAAACTCAAGGGTGAGCAAAGCCTCGTTGCTTATCAATTCGTTAGAAGAGTGATGGAGAGATCAGTTCCCTCTTTTGTCTCTTCTCTTTCTTAAAAAAAATATTTAATCCCATATATATTTTTTTTACGCACACACTCCTGTCATTTCCAGAGCTGGAATGAATGCCTTTGACTGAAAAAATGCTACTCAGCAATGTGTTGGCTTTAAACTAAAGCATCCTAAACCCCCCCCTTAGTGTAGTGCTGGTGGTGTCCAACCTCTTGAACATTAAATACATTCCACACACCACAGGTCAATGTATTCTCCTATTAATTCAGTCCTGGGTTGGTGGCTGCACAGAATTGGTGATATCAACTGGGACTTCAGTTTAGAGGGAGATATAGACTGGGGTTTTAATATAGACCAGAGAGCAGTGAAAGCAGGAGGAGGGTGAGGGGGGGGGGGGGGCAATGTTAATGTTATTCTCACTAAGAAAACTGGTGGGAAGTGGGGGGGTAGAGAGAGGTTGTGATAGATAGACACACACACACACACACACAGACAAATTATGTCTATCTAACCAGAAGTGGCACAGAGAGCCATTTGGATGGACTTGGGTTCATCTGGAGTTTGGGAAAGGGAGTGGATGGGGAACTCACAGGAGGGCAGTCAGTCTGAGAGGAGAGAGGGAAAGAGATAGAGAAGGGAGAGGTAGAGGAGAAGGGGAGAGAAGAGAGAGAGAAAGAGAAGTGAGAGGAGAGGAATAAAGGAGTGAGTGGGAGAGGAGGGGGGGGGGCAGAGAGGGAGAGGGATAGGAAAGGGAGAGGAGAGGGAACAGAGAGGGAGAGGGGGAGAGGAGAGGGGACAGAGGGGAGAGGAGAGGGGGAGAGGAGAGGGGACAGAGAGGAGAGGAGAGGGGGAGAGGAGAGGGGACAGAGAGGAGAGGAGAGGGGGAGAGGAGAGGGGGAGAGAGGAGAGGAGAGGGGGAGAGGAGAGGAGAGGGGACAGAGGGGAGAGGGGGAGAGGAGAGGGGACAGAGAGGAAAGGAGAGGGGGAGAGGAGAGAGGGAGAGAGGAGAGGAGAGGGGACAGAGAGGAGAGGAAGGGGGAGAGGGAGGAGAGGAGAGAGGGAGAGAGGAGAGGAGAGGGGACAGAGAGGAGAGGAGAGGGGGAGAGAGGAGAGGAGAGGAGGGGACAGAGAGGAGAGGAGAGGGGAGAGAGGAGAGGAGAGGAGAGGGGAGAGAGGAGAGGAGAGGGGGAGGAGGAGAGGAGAGGGGGAGAGAGGAGAGGGGGAGAGAGGAGAGGGGGAGAGAGGAGAGGAGAGGGGGAGAGAGGAGAGGAGAGAGGAGAGGGGGGAGAGGAGAGGAGAGGGGGAGAGAGGAGAGGGGGAGAGGAGAGAAGAGGAGGGAAGAGATGAAATGCGGTTCATCCAAAAGCGAGACGTCGCCTGGACCACATCAGCATCTCTCAGTCACACAGGTCACGTCTCTGTTGTGCACAGTATTCTGGTTGAGAGCCACAGTTGGGGAGAGGGAGAGAGGAGGGAGAGAGGGAGAGGGAGAGAGGAGGGAGAGAGAGTGATGCACAAGGACCAGGTACATATGAAGTAGTGAGACCCTGAGTGGAGATGGCGTATATACAGGTGGGTTTGTAAATATTTCAAGGTAACATTCTCTTCTCTTTTTTTTTTGCAACGCTTTGTCACATACCAGTGTCTGGAATGGACTTGAGATTGATTTGCAAACCCCCCCCCACCCCAGTTTTCTCGTGCAATGCCTCTCCTTTCCCCCTCTCCCCTCTTCTCTCTTCCCCTCTCTTCTCTCCCCCCCCCCCACCCCTCTCTCTTCTACTCTTCCCCTCTCCATTCCTCTCTCCTTTCTTCCTCCCACCTCTCCTTCCCCTCTTCCCCCCCCCCCCCCCCCCCATCCCTCTCCTTTCTTCCACTCCCCTCTCTTCCCCTCCCTTTCCACTATCCTCTCTTCCACTGTTCCTCTCTTCCTCTCTCTCTTCTCTTCCCCTCTCTCCTCCTCTCCTCTCCTTTCCCCCTTTCCCTGAAAGGAGCAAAATATGGAAGTCACCACAATTAACTGAAGCCTCCAGACATCCATGGGTTGATGTAAAAGAGGCAAACTCCCCCCCCACCCCATCTCCATCTCCATCTCCATCTCCCAGCCTCACGTTTTGTTGCAAAACATTGATGGTGTTTGGCTCCTGACAGTGATGCTACATCAATGCAAGTTGTTGTTGTTGTTGTTGTGTAGTGCATTCAGTAAGAGCTGTTTGATAGGGTTTGGCTTTCAGTGCAAACCTGTTTTTTTTTTGTGTTTTTCCCTCTTTCCCTCTTGTTCTGGGGGTGAAAGGAAGCAACAGTTGGTGAAAATGCAACAACCTGAGACTGGCAATGGGTGTGAGGTTGGTTGGGTCTCTGGTCACTTAGTTAGTTATAGGTAGTTGGGTGGTTACAGTGGTTTAACAGATCAGGCGATGGCTCAGCTCTCTGATCCAGTGTTTCCATGGTGACATCCATCACTGGCTGATTGAGAGAGCAACCCAGAGAGAACAATTCCTCTTCCTAACCCTCTCCTGCAACTGTGACCAACAATAACAACAAAAAATCACCCTTAGATATATATATATATATGCTCTGAGACACCGTCCAGCGTGAAGGATGCTATATAAATGCAAGTTGTTGTTATATAAACCCAGATGCCCTAACTAAAAAGTCAATTAACCCTTAATCTTATCCTCACAAGACCTGCACCTGTTCCCCCCCACCCCCCACCCCCCCACACACACCCTCCCCCTTCAAATCTGAGCTGTGGTGGAGGGAGGGTGAAATATACTGAGGTTTATCTTTTTGTTCATATATATTTTGTGTAATATGTTTTGTCAAAAAAACAACATGAGATTCGGTGGCAGCCTCGAATGCTAAATATTGCTGCGCTAACTGTTTCGTCCACAAAATGCACAGTCAGTTCACTTTACAGTGTATTCTGTGAAGCGTTTTGAGACGTCTCGAAGACGTGATAAGACAAGGTATTAATTACAAGGATTATGATTATTATTAAACTAGTTTATTTCTGTCTCCCCTTCCCTCTCTCGCCTTTCACGGGTCTCTAAAAGGACAGTTGGAACCAATAAACCAGGTAAGCTTTCCTTTTATTCATAACATGCGATTTTTCTTTAAAAGAAACCCCCCCCAAAAATTATAATTTCTGAACCCGGAATTTACTTTTGTATGTGTTTGCTTTTTCTGTGTAGTTTTTTTTTGTGTCCCGACACAGATTTAATAGACAGTTTTTTTTTATTATTTCCATTTTTCAAACAGTAATTCCTTTGCGAAAAGAGAGCCAAACTCTTTATTTTCGCCTTATTTTTGCCGTGTTATTCTATTCATCAGGATGTTGCCGTGCTGGCTGTAAGCAGCGATGGTGTAAGAAAGCACATTAAAGCTAACAAGAGAAGCTGAAATCAGCTGCCAGTGTCAGCCTACAATGAGAGCACTGATGATGTATAGCATATACAGTAAGATACCAGGTTGTTGTTAATTTCCCTTTGTTTCCCCATTTCTCCCACGTGAAAACAGGGGTTTCTCTCTCGAATATCAGATTTTCTTCTGTGCAGATGGACTTGCAGGAATTGTTGTGAAAAGTGTTATGACTGCAGTTGCTGTCAGACCAGTGAAGATGAGGTGGAAATCTTAGGACCGTTTCCTGCTCAGACACCACCTTGGCTGTAAGTGCGTTTGTGTGGGTGTGTGTAGGTGTGTGTGTGTGTTTTATTAAAAGAAACACATTCATTTTCTCTTTAACACGGCGTCTCGATCTGATGCGTGTAACAGGTGCTCCAGAGCCTAACTTATTATTCAGTGGTGTCTGCCTTACTGTGTGATTGGCGAGTGTGTGAATGTGGAAATGAGGTAACGGGGCGATTTGTTGCTGTGCTTGTTTTATTCTATTAGTCCCGGTTTGTTTCAGTTAGCAAAGTCCTGCAGATACAGGCTTGTCAGGCTTGTTTCATTCAGTTAGCACAGTCCTGCAGGTAAAGGCATTAAATGCCACGTCACTGCTGTGTGATGTCCGAATGGATGTGATGTTATGTGATACGTGAGGCCCCTGTGAGCAGACAGACCCGTACTTTGACTTGATGCACAGTGGCCGCTATTAACATTACATCTCGATTCATCACCTGTTGCAGCGATGTGGATGAAAAGAATTGCATGTACAATATTACGTTCTGCGTAGGTCTGGCTGTGTGCAGTTCGCGGTGAGAGTCGATGAGAATACCAGCCGGGCAAATTTGCAAACCCACCCACACCGTTTTCCTTGAATACCCTGAGATGCACAGAGGCCGATTGGGGGGGAAAAAAACAGTCCTATTCAAAAATGAATGAGATTAAGCTGAGCTCATTTCTTAGAAGGATATTAAAATTGAATGCACAACAACCCTTGAATGTGATTTACTTGTCGTAGAGAGTTCGAAAATGCCTTGGATGAAAATTGCTAAAAAAAGGGTTTGTGTGTGTGTTTGGAGGAATCATGTTTAGTGTATTTCTGTGTGTTTCTTCATTTGTGTACCGTGCAGTGCGTGTGTGCAAGTTGCTGTTGTTTTTGTTGTATGTATGTGTTTCTAATGTGTTTGATCTTAATATAATGTGGCCACGCATCTTTGCATTGAATAATTTCCTTTTGCTACACTGTGCTGGAAATGCACAACCGTTTTTGAAGCCTGTATTCTGAATGCTTGGGAGCACCACTGAATCACCTGTCGCTCAAACACATTTGCTGATGAGCTCAAAAGAGATTGCTTCAATATCCACGATAGTATCCTAAAGCATGATTTACTTCTAATTTCATTGATTCACCAGCTTCGCTGTACTTGCTATTTAAACCTAGCCCGTCGCATAAATACATGGCGATGTGATACAATTGGGGCAAAGTTTCTCTCTTATTTGTTGTGAAGATTCCCACCCCCACCCCACCCACCACCCCCCCCCCAAAAAAAAAAGTAGGGGTATCAATTGAAATGCTTTCATAAATAGAAGCAAGCGTAACTCAGTCAGCGTAGACGAATAACACAAATAACACATTATATTAAGACTCCAGTTCAATCTGTGATACTTAAGCTTGGGAGGTATCATTTGAAGCATTGTTTCCCTGCGTGATACCGGCGATAATTTGATGCAGTTTATGACTCATTATGTGCAGATCTTGCTGCTGTGTGTGCCTGCAGGAGCAATCACCGAAAACACTGTGAGCTCTTGAAAATCCTATCTGAAAGTTTTTCTCAACGATGATACCATCATTACCGTTAAAATAACATCCAATCTGGAGCACATTTTTGATGGGACCGTGCAATCTGCAGTACAGTGTCAGAAGTGTGCACTCTGTGACACTGTTACGACCCCACACGACATACGTAATAGTAATGGAAGAGGTCCCTTTAGCACACAGCGAGCAATTAGGCCTGGTTTTAAAGGGAGTTGTGCCGTGCTCTGAGAAATCCTTGCCAAACAGAAGCTATGTGGGACTAATTCAGCCACAGTCAAGCTCCGTAGTGCCCCGTTATTTGAGTTGTAACATCAGCTTTGAACAATTTCAAGGACGCCATGGGTCACAGCTGTGCACTATGCCCTCGAGCTGACCGTGTGCACTTTGGCTTGCAAGCCAATACATCTCTCGTTAGAAGCGCCGGTCATTGATATGAATTATTTTCACCAAGAGATGCAAATAAATCCCATTTAAGGAGGTAGCAAGATTTAGTCGCTGTCTGTTACCGTAGCGAATCTAGAAGTTTTCTTTCAAAACAATGGACCCACAAACAGGAATTTCTGTTCTCCACGCCAGCATCACTCACACATGATGTTTAAGTGTGCCCAGTCCAGGTGTGTGTGTGTGTGTGTGTGTGCGCGCGAAGGAAAGATATAAGCTGCTCCAGGCCTGACACGTGCTTGAAAAATTATTCCATTAGAACATAAGAACATAAGAATTAGGAGCAGGAGTAGGCCATTCGGCCCCTCGAGCCCTGCCCCGTCATTCGATAAGATCACGGCTGATCTTCTGACCTAACTATAATTACCTGCCCTATCCCCATATCTACTAATCCCTCTATTTTTTAAAAAATCTATCAGTCTCAGCCTTGAAGAGCATCTACAGCCTTCTGAGGTAGTGAATTCCATAAATTCACTACCCTCAAGGCTGACCCTTAATTTTCAGACTGTGACCCCTGGTTATAGATTCTCCTACCGGGGAAACAGACCCTCAGTGTCTACTTTATCAGCCCTTTAAGAATCTTATATGTTTCAATAAGATCTCTGCTGATACTTCTGTACTCTAGAGAATATAGCCCTAGTTTATTCAGCCTATCCTCATAGGTCAGTCTCCTCAACCCAGGAAATAACGTAGTGAATCTACGCTGCACCCCCTCTAGGGCAAGTATGTCCTTTTTTAAATAAGGAGATCAAAACTGCACACAATACTCTAGGTGCGGTCTCACCAAGGCCCTATACAGTAGACTTCCTACTCTTAGAGTGGATGCTGTTTGGGGAAGAAGTTCCTTTATGGCACCAAAGGGTCAGAACCCTTGGCAGACAAAGGCAAAGGTAAAATATGAACAGGAACAAGGGTAATTCGTGATATAAGAGAGCTCTTTCAGGCCTTTGTTGTAAAGTAGATTGATCAGACGTCTGTGCGGTAAACACACGTAAAATTGCAGCGATTAATTTCTGTGTTTCTTCTGTGAACCAGGATAAGCGATCGTACCAATGACCAGGAGGCAGATTTAGACAGTGCAAGTAGTGACCCTCCGCAGACTCCTCAAAGCAGCTCTTCTGATAGACGGAGATCCTCAGATACATCACGTTCCACTTACAGCCTGACCAGACGAATTTCGAGTAAGAGCCGAGCACATTTAGCACTTTGGCTTTGCCTCTACGTTAAATGTACATCATAATTTATATAATAATAATCCTTGCATTTGATGTAGCTCTTTATCACTTCATTGAGGCGTCTCAATGCGCTTCAAACAATATTTTATCAAGTGGATTGATTGTGTATTTTGTGGGCTGTTTACCTGCAGTTTATTCCACAGGTGAGTAATATTTCTGACTAATCCAAGAATTAATACCTAAATCCCACAATGGGATCTGTAAGAATCTAGTCGAGGGCACAAAGCCAGAAATGTGAGAGTTCTAGGGAATCTAAAGGATTGTAGGAATTAGATACCATGACATTGTTGCCTTGTTTTAGCAGTTTAAACATACCATTTGCTGAAGGCACTGATTATTCTTGTTTTTGTTGGTTAACTGCGGTATGTCCTGTGAGGATATATGATGAGTCATGCAAAACAGAACCTGATTGTGCGAAGAATAATGAATACGCAGGAGGAATTACATACCTACAACGTTTATACTCCATGTGCGTTTTTTTAAACCAGTAATTTATTATGGTTTTGGTTTGAGTCATATTTTAAAAACCATCCCCCAAGGCTCCGCTCATGAGGTTTGTGCTTCTCACCCAATGATAGCTAGTTTAACTCACTGCAAACTTTGTGCTATCCATTGCTGATCCCAGTCAGTGCAGCAGTTAGGACATTGCGACTAGCCTTGGTGTCAATCAGTCAGTCAATCAATCAGTCAATAGATCAGTCAGTCAGTCAGTCAACCTGTCCATCAATCAATCAATCAATCAATCAATTAATCAATCAATCAATCAATCAATCATCAACCAATCAAACAATCAAACAATCAATCAAGGTATATACTTCTGCTAGCAACTGTAGTCAATGCATGTGAGCAAATAACAGGCTTACCTGTGATTCCGACCCTTCACTCCCCCACCACAGTTGAATCACTAGCCAACAATCATAGCCAAATGCTCACATCGAGGATGGGCAGTTGGGTGAAGTCCCAAAGGGTGATCGGAACCTATGGAACTGTATCCTTTCAGCGAAGAAAACTGGACAGGAGTAAAATTGCCCCTGACTAATAAAGGAAAACTAACAAGGTGCAACAGTTTTCAGAATCTCAAAATGAAAGTACGGATGTGAAGAATTAAAGTTGGAATATTGTGCAGCCGTTTTTTCCGCCTGTTCAGTTGACCATTTGTTCAGTGTAAGTAACACTGTGTGAATTGTTTCATGACTTACTTTTGTTGTTTGAATTCCCCAATCCTGCAGATCTAGAGACGTCCAGACGCCCGAGCTCTCCGCTGATTGACATCAAACCTATTGAGTTTTGGACAATTGGATCGAAGAAGGAAATAGTTCAACCTAAAGTATTCAGGAAACCATATGCTCCCGAGGACTACTTCCGGAAATTTGAACCGAGACTCTACTCTGTTGATTCAAACAGTGACGATGTGGACTCTTTGACCGATGAGGAGATTCTGTCCAGGTATCAGCTTGGCATGCTCCACTTTAGCACTCAATACGACCTCCTGCATAATTATCTGACAGTGCGGGTGATCGAAGCCAGGGATCTGCCTCCTCCTATCTCATACGATGGTTCCAGACAAGATATGGCTCATTCTAATCCATACGTCAAGATGTGCCTCCTACCAGATCAGAAGAACTCAAGGCAAACAGGAGTCAAACGCAAGACTCAGAACCCGGTTTTTGAGGAACGCTACACGTTTGAAGTTCCTTTTTTAGAAACGCAGAGAAGGACTCTCCTTTTAACAGTTGTTGACTTTGATAAATTTTCACGTCATTGTGTTATTGGGAAAGTTGCAATGTCTTTAAACGAAGTTGACCTGGTAAAAGGTGGACATTGGTGGAAGGCACTAGTTCCAAGTTCTCAGGTAATTGTGCGAATTTGTGCATTTGTTTTTATGTCTGATCAATCGTAGAATACTATTTTGTGGCATTGAGTATGAGTTGGAACATAATTGCTGGTTACATCAGTGAAAATACCAGGTTCAATAGCATTAATGATGTGGCATACGTCCTAATTAGGTTAGTGCAAACATTGGTTACATTTGTGTGTGTGTGTGTTGTGTGCCGATTACTAGGTCATGTTTGCTAGTCAGGTTGGTAGAAGTGGTGTGATTTTTAATTACTATTCTTTAATCAATAAGAATACTCAATAATAATCCTTGCATTTAATATGCCTTTTCACTTCAGGAGGACAACTCAAAGCATTTCACAGGGTTTAGTGTAAAGTGTAGAGCATTTTGTTAGCGAATGGGCCAGTTAATTTCCGCACAGCACATGTGGGACACAGCAATATGTCAGATTGTTAGCTGAATCACTATATTAACAATGACCATACAGACCTTAACCAAATAAGGAAAAATAAATCATTAATGGTTGAAAAAACTAGCTTTGTCAAGGGGGATTGATGTCTTTCCATGTTGAGAGGTCTATTTGGTGAGTTCGCCTGGATGTGAATCGAGGAATTGCACTTCCTTTTGTTGCCGACAGTTTATGTGAAATCAGGAAGGACCAAAGTGCAAGAATTGTTTAGAAAAAGATGAACCACTGGTCAGGTGATGTTAATGCTCTTTTCTTGACTTGGGTATTTTTACAATCTGTGAATAATGTATCCTAACAAACACATGCCGAGTTCCGTAAACTTAGTTTGCCCGGGTGTTTCGTCACCCATTATTCTGCCACTGCACTATGGAATTTACTAACATTTTATTCAATTAGTTACTCTTTAATAAAAATTCAGAATGGCTAAGCGCAGACTGATCAGTCAATTTTGCCAATGATGTTTGATATATGTGAGTGTTGTTGCTCTTCGTATAAATCAAAGTAAGTTGGTATGTGAAGCACTTTGAGACATTCTGACATGACAAGCTGTTGTGTCCATCAAAGCAAAGAATATGGCGCCAATGTCTTTTGAAAGATGTCTGATCATAATTAACATTTCAGTGAAGTGTTGTGATGCAATTTGACAATATATTTTGAAACACACACCAGATGCAGTGAAATTTCAGCTCCTAAAGAACCTTTAGCCAGTCAGTCAGACAATGCTATTGATTATAAGTCAGTCCTAGGCTCTGCGACTTCTTCTGAGATTTCGAAAAGAAAGCATCAAATCAGGCGAGCGGTTCTGTGACAAGTTGGAATTGGGTCTTGCTTACGGATCAATTTTGTTTGCAGTGATTTGCAGTAGTCTCAGAGAAGACCTCATAGACCTTATATAAGGTGTTTACCCAATGTCCTGGTCCAACTATCCCCCAGGTAGTTCACTTCATGGTTGTTTGTGGGGCATTAATTACTGTATGCAAAAAAATAATAAATTGGTCACTTCAATCCATGATACACTGCTGTGTGCAATTGGCTGCCATGTTTCTCCCACAAAATATACAGTCAATTCACTTGACAGTATGTTCTGTGCAGTGCTTTGTGATGTTACAAAGTCGTGATAAGGTGCTACAACAAATGTGAGGATTATTATTATTATTATGCTTGAGTGTGAATATATAACTGTCCACGTGGAAGATATCAATGCAATTGTTTATATCCAGCCTGTGAAGACAAGGTATCCCTCATGAGGATGTATGAGGATATTTGCTGATAATATCCACCAGTGTTTGATATTCTGTTTGTATTTATTTTCCCCATAGAATGAAGTGGAACTAGGGGAGCTACTGATCTCTCTTAATTATTTGCCAAGTGCAGGAAGGCTAAATGTGGATATCATTAGGGCAAAACAGCTTCTACAGACAGATATGAGCCAAGGATCAGGTAAGTGGGAAGCTTTGTCAATCGAAATGCCGTTAATGCCAACTGTATTACACAATAAACTGGTAAGGATTTGTGTGTTTTAAGACTATTCTAAACTAATAATTTAATACACATAATAAAACAAAATTGGCAGTGAAAGCTATTTATATGATTCATGTAAGATATTCTAGGCTATAATGAGGTTAATCTTCTTTTATGTTTATACTCTTTAGATCCATTTGTGAAAGTTCAGCTGGTGCACGGATTAAAATTGGTGAAAACCAAAAAGACATCTTGCATGAAGGGAACCATAGACCCGTTCTACAATGAATCCTTTAGTTTCAAAGTTCCATCTGAAGAGTTGGAAGATATCAGCTTAGTTTACACAGGTAAGACTGCACAGTGTCATTTCTGATTTTCAAATAATAATTGCTCAAATGAAAATTATATATCCATCCATTTTCTCAATTGGTTATGAATCCTATCTGTCCCTCAAAGCCGTTTCGCCCCCACAAAGAGCTCTTTTAATTGGTATTTATTATTGTTGTTGAAGGAATTCAATTTTGCTAAAATATCTGTTGCAATAGAAGTGAACGTAAAATCTAATAAAAATTATGATCCTGTTTATTAAATACTTGGATTTTTATTACCTTTGCACCTGAATGCATTAGTGTTCTTGTGTTTAGATGAATGACATTAATGTGTTTCATTTAAAATGAATAGTAATAATCTTTGCATTTGATACAGCGCCTTTCACGTCAGAAGAATGTTCTCAAATGCAAAATAAAATTACAACAGATTAGTTAATATTTTGCAAATTTACTTATTAACAAACTTTGACCAACAAAAACATCTGCGACTCAACAGTGCCAATCCCGCCTGCAAACGCTAGTATTTCCTTTGATAAAATTACTATAATTAAATTCTGTTTGATTTTCTCTCCACCTTTGCAGCATCCTAGTGATTAGTAGCACTCTGACTGATTATGTCGGTCACTGATGCTAACAGCAAGAGGAAATTCTGTGCACATCAGAGCAGCTTTAAAAAATAATAGGGCCAAGTTTTCATTTGCTGTGCGCTAGGAGTAACTGTTGGTTCAAGCCATTCAATTTCTGAATAGTAGGTTCCTTAGAGAAACCCTGTGATATTCACAAGATGCTCAATCAGAGATTTGCCGCAAGTTTCACTGCTTAATTCCTTGAGAAACAGAAAACGATACAAGTTGACGCCAAAATAAATGAACGACCCACTTGGTGCTTGACTGCTGGTAGCACATTAGGCCATCAAACAACAAATTGGAAGAAATTATGGAAATCCAGCACTTGAACACCACTTCAAAGAGGCCAATCTTTGTTAACGAGTCTGGTTCACGGATGGTAAAGTGCGGAAGATAACATTCAAATCGAGAAGTCACATTTCACAGTATGTTTCAGTCCAAGAAGTTATCATATATTTGCAGTCCCCACCTTCCCCAAATGAAATATAACTCGTCGTGTGGATTGAAATGGCTGCCTGGACTAAAATAGCGCAAGATATTTTTGATATGAAAAAAGCGTTCCATCTTATCAGGGGAGTTTGAGTTTTGAGTGACCTTCAAGGTCTATTGCCATCAAAGATTGACCTGTAGTAAAGATCTGGAAAGGAAGGTCAAGGTTAGAGATGTGCCACTCGCAGAAGAACTGAAGCTCCCTGACTGGCAAACAGGAGGAAGCCCATGCAGTGACTCCTTACATTATGGTAAGCTTTTAAATCTTCTATGCTACACTGAGTCATTCGCTGTATATATGTAGTTCATTCACATGTATGCAGCCAATGAACACGGATCCTGGTATCACTCTCCATAGCATAATCAAAATACATTTACCATACTCTTGCCTACATGAAATCCGCACATGTTTTAAATGCAATGACTTATTTGAATATCCTATGTAGTAATCTGCAATAAATATCCTCCTCAGATGACTCCCAACTGAAAACCACATATCGATAGCTGCACCGATGATTATTCACACCCAAATTCACGGCTGACTTTTTCCGACTCCAATGATTCATTGCTGTGCCTGATGGATTGTTGAGTCTGAGCAAGAGAAGAGAAGACAAAATAGCCCTGTACTCTCCCAGCAATGAAGATCAAGCATCTGAGAACACAGCTGGGGGAGAGAAAAGAGGACAGTGTTAGCGACAATCCTCGATCCCAAAAAAAAACACCTTAAAGATGGTTGAAAACATTTGAAAAGATACCCAGACAGACGTTGAAGAAAGCACATCAGACAGAGAAATCGAGAGTTGTCGGTCCCTTCAGTTTCCCAGCACTGGCAGCACTTTGCTTTGTCACCAAAAATGTGCTGAATGTTGTCATACCAGAGACGCATTTGTGCGTTAAAACGTGCGAGTTGGCTGAGCACAGTTAGCCACGCAGCTTGTTCCCATCATCAGCCTGCTGTCTACAATGATGTGTGACCAGCCATCTTCCTCCGTTCAGCTCAAAGTCATTGCAAGTCACAGCTCCTTGAAATCCCCTGATGCGCTGGATTGGAGAGATTGGTGGAATAGCCTCAAGTGCTAACTGTGCCACTTAATTCCGAATCAAACCCCATGGAGGAGGATCCTTCGCAATGTCATGCTCCACGTCGTGATGAAGAAAGAACTCGTGTTTCGATAGTGCCTTATCATGTCTCTCAGCACTCCTGAGCGAAGTGACTGTGCTTTTGTAGGCAGCTGCTGGAATATTATATCAATCTGAATTAGTGATGACCATTAACATCTGTCCGCTGTGTAAACAAAGCAATAATATTTAATTTCCGAATAATCCAATAAACCACGATGGCATCCATCACCGGAATCAATCACGGCTTTGTGTTCTGTGTCCTGCACTTCCAGGATTTCTGATACTTGACATTTCACCTCTTTTAAGTTAGTTCAAACTCCCTGACATCTTTGGTGCTGTAATTTCCTTCACGCCAGTTCTGTTACTGATGTTCCATTGTCTTTCCATCACCTGGAATCAGATTCTCACAGTGCTGGGAAAAAAAAAGCAAAGAATGATAATAATAATCCGCACATTTGATGTAGCGCTTTATCACGAATTCGAGACGTCTCAAAGCGCTTCACAGAATATACTGCAAAATACATTGACTGTAAATTCTGTGGGAGAATGCTCAAAAGACTATAAACGCTACCTCCCCATCAAAATCCCAAAACAATAATTATGATCAACTTCAAAGATCTTTCTTCAGGCTATTTCTATCAATTTAAAAAAAAAACCTACTATAGCAATATCAATGGCAAGCTATGTGATGTTAGCTGGTTAGCCTGCAGCAGGACCCCAACTCGCACTCTGGGGTCTTGCCAACCTGCGCCTAATACTTTCCGGAATTAAGTAAGCAAAATGCATCCCTCCAGGCTGCTTCCTTATGCAATACTGTGCCACTGTGTTAGTTTAGATTGTCTTCATGGGACAGAAGTCAATGTTTAAAGTTCTCTTGCTCTCACTGTATACACTGAACAACTGCCTTGCTTCCTGACCAGTCCAATTCTCTTCCTAACCACATTAGTCTATGCTCACTATGAACCTCTTGAGCAGTTCTTCAGATTTTTCTGTTTTTTTACACGTTGCACGATGGAACGGTTAGCAGTTTCCTGGCAGTTTTCTAAGACCACACTTGACATCCCTCTCCAGGTGTGCAATGCTGCTCTGCTTGACTTTTAATTAAAGCTGCATTAAGAAAGAACTTGCGTCTTTCCACCTCATATAATGTCAAAATGTCTCAGAAAGCTTCGTGTTAACTATTGTCTCGTGTCGTGACTGCGTTTTGCAGCAAACATAACAGTCGATTTGTACACAGCCAAGAGGTGAATGATTAATTAATATGGAGGATTAATGTCCATATTAACACCAGGAGAAACCCCTCTCGCTTTTCAAATGCGATTTTTAATGGCTATGGCCCTGTCTAAAATAAAATGTTACAACCGACAAAAAAAACACAGCCAACCCCCCGCTCCATACTAAATTATCATCCTAGGTTATAAAATAACATCCCAATATCAGGCATGAATCCACAACCTTCTGCCCCAGAGGCTAGAGTGCTACCCATTGAGCGCTATGTTGCTGACATCTGCATTACATTATCATGAGATATTTGGCCTACATCATTTCTAGTCTTGAAAAGTTTGCAGTGATATATAAATTGTGTGAAGGAGTAAACCAGTCAAATTTGGATATTGATCGCATCTCTACACAATGCTGCAAATAGAAAGGGTCTTGTGTTGAGTTTTAAATCCAGGAGCAAAGTTTAAGCTATTGGAATCACTGCCAGAGACTTGTGGATTCTTTGTTTGTATTCATGTCGCATGATGTTCTGTTGATTCTCTCCGACTGATTTATGCTGAACCCAAGATTTTGTTTTTCACTGATTGCAATTTGTATGAATTTGTTTGCAGTGGGCACGTGTTTCATTAGGGGAAAAGTCTTTTGTCTACATCAAATGTTTTTTTTCATCAAGTAATGTAAAGCCAATTAGAAAAGAGGGTTTAGTTCATACAGCTGGGATTTTCCAAGTGGAAAAAAAAAGTATTGCGTTTTGTGAAAAGATTTAAAAATAATTATGATCCTTGCTTTTGATGTAGCACCTTTAACAACAGGAGGATGTCTCAAAGCGCTTCACGGGATTTGCTGCGAAATATACTGAATTTTGTACGTGAAAAAAAAGTAAGTCCTTGCGATGGGCAAATTACACGGATCAAGATTTCTATAAACTGCTTAGCTCACATAGTCTAGGCTGACAGTCTAATCAGTTTGTCAGTATCATAATTTGTACTAACCTCACTGTACATAAAGGGTTTGCCAGGCAGTGGAGGCAATGTGTTCGAAGGATCAGTTCTGTGGAAAGATCAGATAAATTGGGGCTCTTCAGTTTTGAAATGAAATGTCTCAGAGAAGACATGATAGACCTTATCTAAGGTGTTTACCCGATGTCCTGGTCCAACTATCCCCCAGGTAGTTAATTCACTTTATGGCTGTTTGTGGGGCATTAATTACTCTAAGCAAATTGGCTGCCTCATTCACCTAAAAAAATAATAAATTGGTCACTTCAATCCACGAGTGTTTGTGGGACACTGCTGTGTGCAATTGGCTGCCGCTGTGAAGCACTTTGAGACGTCTGGAAGATGTGAAAAGTGCTATATCAAATGCAAGGATTAATAAAAATACATAGTACGCTTTATAGAAAAACTCTCTGAAGCTCTTTTGAGGCACTTTGATTTGAGAAGACGTAATATTAGAAGCAAGGAATATTTTACTATATAGCATTAAGAAAGTAAACCCAGAACAATACTGTCAGATGTACCAATTTTGTGAGGTTTTGAAAACCAGGAATGGTGTACTGGCAAA